GACCAAGGTCTCTAACACAGGCAGGTGAGAGGCAGCACAGCTGGCTGCAAGGGCCCCTTCTCTTGGTTATGTTTTAGGTGGGACCCCAGAGAGTTTGTATCTATAAAGTTGTTGGTTCCTGAGTCCCAAGAGAAGTACAGTGAAATGGTGACTGACTCGGCCTGAGTCCAGTTTCTTACTCCTGATCACAGGGGAAAATCCTGCTCATCTGCCTCTAAGGCAATGATTAGACCCTCAGATCTGAACTCACAACAATGCAGTTCTTTTAAGTCAGTCACTGACAGCAGTTTACAGAGCCATCATCAGTCTAGAAGTCTAAGCAGAGATAAAGAATACTCAAAGAAAAGACTAAACTTGCTAGGCTAGCTTGATATACTTTCTTTTTTCATCTTTTTTTTTTTTTTTCTTTTCTGGTATTTTTGGGTTTTTTTTGTTTTTTTTTTTGTTTTTTTTGTATTTTTGCTTTTTTGTACTGGGCATCAAATTCACAACTTCACACTTACCAGAGAAGCGCTTAAGCTACTGAATTAAACCCCAGCTGCCCTCCTCTTTTTTTGGCTTTTGGACAGGGTCTCACTAGGTAGTTCTGGCTGGCCTTGAACTGACAGCAATTCTCCTGCCTCAGCCTTCTGGGTGCTGGGATCACAGACACATGCTACCATATCCAGCTTGATATTCCTGAAGCCTCAATTAAGATTTCTGTATGAGCTAGGCATGGTAGCTCATGCCTGTAATCCCAGCACTTGGGAGGCTGAGGCAGGAGGATCTTTGCAAGTTCGAGACCAGCCTGGGCTACAAGGTGAGCTCAAGGCCTGTCCAAACTGCATATAGAGACCTTGTCTCAAAAAAAAAAAAAAAAAAAAAAAAAAAGGCTTCTGTATGAAGAAAACAGATTTCAGAGTCCTAGCCTCTAGGCCAGGGGTTTATAACCAGCAATAGGCCTCTGATGAATTTTCATACATTATTATACAACTACCAAATTGTACCCCCCAGAGATTTTGATTCCATACAGTTAGGATGGAACCTAGGAATATATGCTTTTTAAATGTTTCCTGGATATTCTAATGCCTCACTGCCTGCCCCCTTATCACTCTCCCAATTCCATAGCCATCAAGCCAAAACTAATAATCCACAAATGCTTTCAAAATGAGTATGTTTCTCCCTACCAGATAGGCAGATCAAAGAGTTTCAATACTACTATCTGGACTCAAACACTGAGCAAAAGCTGAAATTAGATTATTGCCTTTCTCCTTCACAGAATCCACCCACACAAACTCTTCTTAAAGCCATAGATTAAAAGGCTTAAAGCACCACCATATAATCACACAGGAAAAAAAAGAGAGAGAGAGAAGTATTAGACTTGCAATCATAAAAACAAACCAGAAGAAAGTCACCTTATCCATTGTTTCCAGAAGGGATAACACTGAACCCAGATTGGCTTAATAGTTATTAAGGAAGAGGAAGATTTCAAAACCTCCTTTACTTAACTGTTTCAAAATCTAACAAACCCCCAGAATAGACAATCCTTTTGTATCTCTAACTTACAGTCCATTTCTGTACATTGTTAAAACAGAAAAACAACTCAGCTCACTCCACCTAAAAATCTCAGAGACTTTAGGAAAGAGGGGGAGGGTTCGCTACCAAGAACACATACACTTTCTTCTTCAAGAAAACTCTGCCTTTTATAACAATCTTTTTGGTTTTATACTTTGAGTAACCACTTTGAAGATAATGATACACAATGTAACAACTACTGCTACTCTATTATGTGAAGATGAAATTGTGGGTTTCATAAAAATAAATTTCAAAAACAATAGCCTCAACTGAGATGAGAGGCAGGAACTGACAAACATACAGAAGCTGAACTTGAAGGGTATTTGTAAGTGATAAGTTACAAATCAAGTTTCACTTTAACTCAGCAGATTTGACAAAATAAAAAAACATTGTATCACTCTTTCCTAATTACTCCCCTACCCAGCAGACTCCCATGGAAAAAACTTAATAAAAATAGCAGCTCTTACCAACTATCCCTGTAGTAATTTAAATCTTCATCTCTATTGGCTCTCTCCCTTCAGCTTTTAACCATATTTCAACCATATATTTAACTAGGTCTCTCCTGAATTATAAAGTCCTTAATGAGCAGTCCTTCTAAGGTACATATGCTTCCCTTCTCCCTTTAAGCACTCTGCATGTAAATAGGTTACCTTTACTTTTTTTTCCTTTTTTGAGGTAAGGGTCTCACTAAGTAGTTCAGGTTGGCCTTGGACTCATTGTGCAGCCCAGGCTGGCCTTGAACTTGAAGAGATTCTCCTGCCTCAGCCTCCTGAGCACTGAGATTAGAGTAATCCAGCTATACTTCTTTTTCATCATGTTATTCCTAGTTTTTTTCTTCAACAGGTTACAAACTCCAGATCATTTCTTACTCTTTTGAACTTCCAAGTTTACCCTATTACATCAGACACCTTTAAATTATTCTATTTCATTTACTCCTTTAGTATTTACTACATATTTTATGCTGTCCTTTATATCACACTGTAAAATAACAAATACAAAACTTCACCTTAGAAAATGAAGACATACAGGAGAGGGCAGTTATATATTGGCTTCAAAGTAGTAAAGCTAGCCAACTAACCCCATCCCCTTTCCCAGAGAAAAGTGTAGAATTCTGATGAAAAGGCAGATGAAGGCAACCTCAGAACATGTGATTCTAGGCAGAAGCCCTCTGACCTAAGCGCTGTATAAAGACCCTGTAACACTTCCTTCTTTGCCCCTCTCCCCAGCTAAGGCATGTCTTTCTGTCTTCAATTTTATTTCAGAATTGGCTACCACAAGTCATAAGTTTTCTATTACCATGATTACCCACAGCCACCATACATTAAAACAATTCACGGAGCCCAACAGATTAGGACCTATTTTGGTTATCACGACACAGGCTTTTTAGAATGATCTTAGGTAGACAGTCATCACTACTAAGGAGTCTGGGGAGTTAAGCATCTCTATGGTCCTAAGGTTCAAAAAGCAAGCTATCCCTGTTGGATGTTAAAGATAAGCACTACTGCTCTTGCTCTGTCACACCACTCAAGGGTCATCTAACTCCTGTTAAATATTTTGCTCATAAACGTGTCAGGCCCTCTTTCACTGTTTTCCTAGTGCTCTCTCCTCTTACCCCACACTCACAGCTCACACATACCTTCTCTGTGAAGTGGTTCATACTCCCCCAAACTGAGGACCCCTCCACTGTGCTTCCATTAATAATGCATACTTCTAGAACAGCAATTACCATATCATGGTGTAATTATTTGTTGACATGTCTGCCTAGCTACAGGCTCTTTGATGGCAAGAATGTTTTATTCATCACTGATTCCACACTTAATAGGTATTCAATAAACACTTGTTGAATGTATTATGAAGTTAATGTGAAGTTTTAAAGAATGTAGACAGCACACCAAAATTACAGTAAGTATTCACAATTAAGACTAAACCATTATATATTTTTATTATGTATACCATTCCTGGCCAGAAAAATGCCCATAGATGTGAGACTGTTTTAATAGTGCTGGGCATTGATAAATTACCAGCAAAGAATATGAGCATCTGCAGTACTAACAACAAGCAAAGACTGTCATGTCTAACACATTTTCTAATTTGGGGGCTCATTCTCCTGCTTCTGGTATAGGTACAATTAGTAATAGGAATCCTTTAAAAGTCAGGCATGATGGTGCATACCTACAGATCCAGCTATTTTGAAGGCTGAGGCAGGAGGACTACTTGAGCACAGGAGTTAAAGAACAGCCTCAGCAATATAGTGGGACCTTATATTAGGAGAAAGGGAGAAAGGAGGAGGGGGGAGGGAGGAAGGAGAAAGAAGTTCTAAAAAGGGTCACCATCTCTACCACCATGGAATCTTGTGGCAAATTTTGATTCAATACAATTTCTGCTGAAAACTTTTCACCTTACCAAATCCAATTACGATTCTGCTAAGGGACAGAGATCTGCATTAAGTCCTCACAGAACCCTATCACAATGTACATGAGTACTCTAACTCATTCCTCACGAGTTACTCATCTCTAAAGAGTCCCAGGCAAAGCAATAAATGGTGCTGTCTCAAGTGACTTCCTGTAACAATCCTGTATCACACAAAACTAATATGTTTACAGGCTGCTATTAAGATACAAAGTTTTATCTGATCCTATGGGAACAAAGCCCTAAACTCCCTCAAGGGATTAAATAAATTTAGTTTACTTCTATATTCTCAGAGTTGCAGGGCTCAACAAAGTTGAATAAAGAATAAGGTCCAAAACCAGACAGGTGAAGGAGTAATAAAGGGTTCCGCCTTGGAGGAGCATCTGCTGCTGCAAAGGACATGGCTCTTGACATAACAGTAAACCAGATAAGCACTGTTCAAGGGCAAACCAGGAGAACTGCTTTGCTGCACACAGAAGTCCTTGCACATTATCATGCCTAAGAAGCCAAGAAGCTCAGGTTAAACTAATTTAGTTTTCCTAAAGAAACAAATCCATTTTGACCCCCGGCAAGAACAAGACATTAGCAAGTCAATATCTCAGACAAGGCTCTTTGGCATATTTCTTTCTGTTTCTACAGTCTTACGTAACTCCAGCTGCAACACCTGGATCCACATTACTCACAGCTTAATTCTTCACAGGTATTGGTCTCACTATCTTCTTCCAAGAAGGGAAATTGAGTCATCACATATCAACTGGCTTCCTCAAGCACGCTCTTGGTTTGTAGTGAGGTCAGCTGAGCTCAGGCTGCCTTCCTCCTATTCACCTCCCACGTGAACATCAGCAAGCTTACTAGTCCTGCTGCTCTTTTACCTTCAACCTAAAACCAAGTCATTGCCTCCTTGAGGAGCAGAGATAAGCTATTTATCTTTTTAGAGCTAAGAGCTCTCTTCTTCCCCAAGAAAGAGGAAGGTGAGCGAGGAACACAAAGTGGGAAAGGGAGGGATGGAATGAGGTGGCGCTAATACTAGGACTCACCTTAGAGCTGAGGTCCTCTCGCCGATTGCCTGCCTTACTCCTGCGTAGTTTAATGGATGGAGATCGCAGCAGGTTCTTGATCCGGCTGGTAATGGTTGACCCTTCCACAGCCATCATGATAAGGAGCCCCTTGGGACAGTCCTTTAAATGGTCCTGGGTTCAAGAATGGCACTTTCTTCCCACTCCACAAGGCCTTCCAATCTGCCCTTTCACTGGCCTGAGATGGCACAGGCCACTAACTTACGATCATGGTAGGTATCTTGTACCTACCTGAGTCTGCAGCTTTGACCTCTAGGTACTGCCCTCTTTCTCCCTCATCCCTTCAAGTCTTGCGTGTTTTCTTATAAAGTGGGAAGGCCAGACTAGTGAAAAAGGTGGAGGGACTTCTGAGCCATAGGAAAAACTTTGAGCCGCAAAGAAGTGCCAGGCCCACGCCTCCGAGAGGCGTTTAACTAGAAATGGGATGGGCTGTAGTGGGGGTGGTGGCCAGCCTGGTCTCCCGTTAAGGCTCAACTGTTCCCATGGCAACTGCGGTGTCCCAGGGAGGAGGCTACGGAGGCCACCTGGGAGGTCCCCGGGGGACCTCGAGAATTCGGCGCTGCGGCTCCCTACGGCCCAGCAGTTTTTCTGCCACGGAAGCCTCCCTCCCCCACCCCCGACCCTCAGAAGCTAGCTCTCTGCTCTCAACACCCTCCTGGATCTTACTCTTTCACCCGCCCAGAAGCCCCTGCTACTCGTCAGCGCCCCCGCTCGGGCCCAGCCTCACCAGCCCCGGAGCACTAGGGCTGCCTGGCCCACAGCGCCCTCAGGCATCGCGCTGGGCGATTTCAGCTCCGCCGCGGCAGCATCGACAGCAGCCGCAGCAGCTATGGTGGCACGAGCGGCTCAAAACGCGAACTGGAGCCTGCGCCAAGCTTCGGGCTGAAAGGCGGAGCCGACGCGAGGGGGTGCGGTCTGCAACCGGGAGGTCGTTCCCCGAGTGGACAAGCGAAGCGTACGGAGGCGGGGCCAGTGCAAGGTCCTAGGAAGCCGAAGATTTAGGACTCCAGAGCTACGAATTGCACACGGTATAATTGTGGGTACCGCTGTTAGAGGAAGGTCAACAGAAGACAGCTTCAGAATTGAAGAGAATCAGACCTTTTATGGTATTTTTAGGCCTGGCCCCCCGGAGAACTGCACTTCCCAGAACCCCAAAATTATAGCCACGCCTCCAGAAGGTTGGCATTTGATAGGCCCGAGGGACCACAGCTGAAACTCCTAGCTCAGAATTACAAGGTTGGGATACAGCCAGAGCCCTGCTACGATCCACCCCAAGCGCTGGAATTTAAAGCGTGTGGGATTGGAGTAGGTTTTGATCACTGTCAGCCCAGCGCTTAGGCCCACGTGGAAAGCATTCTTCTGCATAATCCAATTCAAATGCTAACAGCGGTGAACTGGGTAACGTCTGGTTTTGTTGGAAGAGGCGATCAAAACCCGAAACAGAGCTTTAAAGATAAATCACAAAAAGTAACAGGTGATCGCGCCCAAAAGGATATACTGTGTCTCATGGTTTGCCTCGAAGTCCTACAGTGTACTAGGTTAACTAGGACTTTGTTAACGACTTTCCTCGAATTTGTGAAATTTTGTGACTACTCACCCCCTTATGATGGGTAGTTTTCAAGGTCACTGCAAAGCTTACTGGGACTTTAGTGGTTAGTTTTTCTAGCTCGTAGGGTTGGGGAAATATGTGGAAAATACATTCACATGTATGTAAGCTAAACAGCTGTAGGCTTTTTCACCTAGGTAATAAAGATTATTATATTATGAAAAGATTAGCTTTGGCCTTTAGAGAAACGGTATGTTGACGCTGTCTGTCCCTATCGAGACCTTTCTGATCCCTGTGACACCTTCACAAGAACAGAACTCCTAAACAAAAGGTTGTGAGCAGACTGCACATAGCCAAATGACAAAACAGCAGTGTGTGTACTGCAATTATGTATTAAAAACAAGACTTACAATAAAGCTTACAGGTTGACATGGACATCAAGGATGCCACGTCCTGGAACACAGTGGGGCACAGCTACCAAAGGCTTCCTTCCCCTCAACCTGCATTGTAGATCTGATGAAATTAAAACTGGATTTTCAAATTACCCAAATATAAAGGAAGGATGCAAGAGCCATTAGCCATAATCTGAAAAGCAGGTAACTAACTCCTTTAACCTTTTGATTCTTCACAGAAAGCAACACTACTATAAATGTTTCCACCTGGTGTCCGTGCCAGTCATTTTTGTCAACTAATGATTTTCTTAGCTAACCAGGTCTATAGCTGTCACTGGTCATTTCTTGTGCAAAGCTAATTTAGCCCTTACAAAAAACATTCCCAAATTAGTCTCTGACACTAAAGCTACACTTGCATATCTAAATAAACTCCTGCTTTCCTTGTCTACCATGAAAAACAGGAGCAGTGTAATAAAATATAAGTCTGGAATCTGGATTATTAGAAGCGCCGGGCCAAAAGGACACATTGTAAATTCTTTCCAATCTAGGCCAGCTTAAGTTATTTAGATAGCATATTGCTTTTTTTTTTTTTTTTTTTTTTTTTTTTTTTTTTTGATGGGGTCTCGGTATGCAGTTCAGGCTGGCCTTGAGCTCACTCTGTAGCCCAGGCTGGTCTTGAACTTGCAACAATCCTCCCACCTTAGCCTGCTGAGTGCATATTGCCTTTGAGATGTCAATGTGAAGAACAGGGTCAGTGATGGAGATCCTTTTAGAGCTTTCAGTCATACAAACAGCTTGCTTTGGCACACATGCCATGGGTTCACCACTATACAAACTGTTTCTACACTTCATGAATTCCTCAGAAAGTATCAGGTGCAGTGTAAGGGGTTACTCCTTTTGCTCCAGTACTTGCTACCCTATACTTCATGTTTCATCCTCTGCACACTATTTATTATGCTTATGTCCTAAGCATGTACACGTTATTTACTAGACTCTGAAGTAACTGAGAATAGACATTACAGAATTGTTTCATTTACCATTATGCTTATGCTTATGAGGCTTTTTGTTGTTACTGCTGTTTTTAGCAATAGTAGGGATCAAACATAGGGACACCCATTCACTAAGCTACATTCCCGGTCCTTTTTATCTTTTTGTAAATTCTGAGATTCGGTCTCAACAAGTAGGCCAGACTGGCCTCAAACTTGCAATTTGCCTGCCTCAGTCTCCTCAGTAACTGAAACTACAAGCATTTTTAGGCCTGTGCCACAGCACCCAGCTTGGATCAAATTTCTTAAACTGCCTTAGGCAAATAAGGGGCAATTACAAGAACCTTCAAAACAGGCCAGATTAAACATTTGCTCATTATGCAAGACACTAAGTCAGCTGAGCTAGACTGCCATTGAAGACAGGATAAATCTCAGGGCAATGCTTCCAAAACCACTTTCCTGGTTAACAAAAATCTTTTCTACTAGCAGGGTTTTATAGTGATAGAACTTAATTTTGTCTCGAAATGTCTAACTTCTCATCTAGTATTTAGCTCCACCTATTCTCCACACATACCTCCACACTTATGTGCCTTGTACATCAGTTCCATCCTATTTAACTACTAGTTATGTCTCGGTTTAAAAGTTGTATATATCAAATTATTTTCCTTTGTTCCAAATATGCATTTTAACTTGATTTTTTTCAACTGACAGTAGGTCTTGACTACCTCATTATGAATTCATGTCCACGTAAAATTTTAAAATCAACAATACAATGGCACAGGAATCTTGATGGCTTTATAGGACCATTCAAAACTAATGATTCTGCACTGGAAATGTATCAAGATGTGCTACCTGTACTGTGTGAGACCTTTTCTTAAAATTCTGGGAGAGACTAGAGCTATCACTATTTTTTAGGTCCTTCTTCAAAGCATGTTTACCTCTCAATTCACTTCAGCCCATTTTAAGTACTATATGTCAACCAATTATAGTTATAAATATACTATCATACCATGACAGAAATATATAGATTGTCTGCCTTTGTCTTGTGTTCAAAATATTTTCAAACCTATTACAGAAAGGTATCACCCCAGATGTTTCATCCATAATTCTGAAAAAAAAATAGCATTTACTATAAAACTATACAGTATGTATAAAGCATATATAATTGAACTTGATTTGTTAGTGATCTCAGATTAGTAATACATCAATGTCAAAAAATCCCTTTAATAAAACCGTGTAAATTATGTGTAAAACTGTAAATTATGAGAGTTGGTAACATCTTGTCTTAAGAACACCTACTAACCACTAAGATTGTGTTTATGTCCTATTGTTCCTTGAGGTAACAAATTGCCTTGCACACAATGGTACATGAGGCTAGCTTTCATTGTAGGATGACTTCTAAAACACACACATGTCAAGTTGTACACAATTTGGGGGAGGGGGGTTTCTGGGGATCGAATTCATGACCTCGTGCTTGCCAGGCAGGTGCTTAAGCCACTGAGCTAAATCCCCAGCCCAAGTTGTACACAATATTGAAGCCTCTTTGGCAAGACATTCCACAAAGACTAGAAGACTAAATACACCTCCCCAAAATGGCATATTAGAGACTTTAAGAATGGGAAGGAATTCCTATGATGAAAACTTCAAAGGCACCCTCTCTCAAATATCTTAGGGCATTAAGAATTCTCTACTTCCAATTTTACAAAAATCTTCCAACAGCAAGTCCTGCTTTAATTAGTATAACTGATTTATTTCAATCACCAAACAACTTCTGTTCTTGTTTCTAAAAAAATAGTCACTTTCAAAAGCAGAAAAGGAAAGATATATATTTAATATATAAAAGAAAATGCTAAATCTGACATAATTATATTCTTAAAAACATTCCATTTATTTACAGATGTATAAAAAGATGAATTATTGGTCTACTGAGATCATGCGTCTTATAGTTAGGGTGACAGTTGTCTTCCAGATTTCTCAACTCTTTTCTTACTCATCTTTCATTCACACACATGTAATTTTCTTTTTTTTTTTTTTTTTTTTTTGGGTCTTTTTCGTTTTTATCGGTACCAGGGATCGAACTCAGGACTGCCTGCTCGCAAGGCAGGCGCTTATGCCGCTGAGCTAAATCCCCAGCCCCTACACATGTAATTTTCATAGATCAGTTTCTTCTGGGGCAAGATTAAAGGATATAAGTTTTTGGAGATTCTAGATTTCTGTCAAGACTGCAAGACTTTACTGAAGACTGAGCCCTCCTCAAACTTGCCCTGATGACTCCTAGATCTGTCTTAAGAAGACTGTATCTTAGTTGGGGGGTAATGGATTTGCAGCCTTCCACGAACACCTGGAATACTTCATTTCTATCTCTGTACATCTCTTGTAAGCATATCCATCCATTCAAGAATTGACCTGGACTGGTTTTCTTCTAAAAAAGGGAAAGTGTTCAAAAGTGAAAATGGTCCTTCTTTTCCTGAGGATTTTTCACTCCCTTGCCAGCTGATCCTCTACGGCCACAAGAGCCTTGGGAAGTCAGGAAGAAAGCAAAGAAGAGACAAACAATAAAACAATGGGAAACTACTACACCCAGGTTAAAGAACTGGCATCTCCAATGAATATTAGCAATGGAGACAGGTGCTAAACTCCTTGGCTAAGGCATTGAATAAAATCTGCTGGGTAAATAAGAGACAAGGAGACTAGGGAGCACTCTTTGAACTACTTCAAGCTTCCTCAGTAGAAAGGGAAAGTTAAGTACTAACAGGCAGGTCTAGAAAGGCAAGTAGCACAAAAACAAAGAATTTATTCTCTCTGCATTTTGCAAAGGAAGCCTTCCTATTCTTTTAGACCAGTTGATGGCCAGAGTTAATGGAAGGGGAATCAGTTGAAGTAATTCACCAGCTAGATCCATTCCAAAGCTGGTCTCACAACCTAGGTGTGAAGATATGCTGAGTGGAACTTGGGTAAAGGGGGAGGATACAGAAGAAACAGCATGACCTAGGCACAGCCCAGGCAGTGGAAGCTCTTGTGTTAGTGTTTTACAACACAAGCAAATCCTGTCAGTAAAGACAGAACAGGGGTTACATTCCAAAATATAATTATTTAAGAAAGGCAAAATGCAGCAGCTAAATCCCAGTCTATACATTTTCTGAATAGTGATTCTTGCCCCCCGGAAGTTTCCAAGAGACCCCTCAAGTGCACCATGATTATTTACAAACTAGATAGGAAACATCATTTCTATACTCAATACAAATCTCATCTTCTAGGTTGAAAACTTCAGCCTTTGAGAAATCTATGAAAACTATACAAAAATATAAATATCTTTATCTTTACAGGCTGTCAGTTCTTCATACCCTGACAGCTAATGAGTGAAAAAGCTCTACAGATCATTGAATCCATGATAGTAGATAAAAATATATACTGTGATTCAAATACTGCCTTATTTCCCTGGTAGAGTGCCTACTATGACTTTTCTTTACAACCTGTACAGGTAACAGTGAATTGAAACCTTCAAGCACCGGAAGGCTGGTTTGATCTGGGAAATACCCAGCCCCACAATTTTTAATTTTGGCCACTGTCTCTGGTCTTGGGGGCAGAGGATGCTTTTCATTTTAGCTATCTCTTGAGTGATGTGATTTGTGAAGGGGGAAGAGTTCCCTCCTTACCGACCTCCAAGTATGTATTACTGGTAGAAATTTCTGGCAATAGGAAATTATCTTCCAAGACCCACAAAGGCAGTGAGGAAGAACTATGGTTTTTAGCATCTCAAAGTAATCACCTTAATAATAATAAAGCTAAAAGATCTCTACTTTACCAAAAGGCTTGCATTTGGAATTCTGATTGAAAAGGTAAAGCAAATGGAAGCTACTCAGGATATAAAAGATAAAATTTTGCCAAATGACATAAAATCCTTCACTTTGGTATTTCACGGTACACATCCTATCTCAATCACTGAAATAACAACTTAAAATGATCTCTTCTGGACCCCCTTGCACAAATACATCACATTCCTTTGATTTTTAGATTTAACGAAACAGCTATCAGCTATAATTCAATCCAAAGCCAATTCCAAAGTCTAGCACAGCTTTTTCTCTTGGGGAGGTACGCAGTGGGGGTGGGAGGAATCTGGGACACTAGGTACCACTATGGAGCCAGAGTCTTGAATGAATTCCTTGGGTAAGGGGCACCTCATGTTCAGTAATGGATCACATCTTCTCAGAGAGGAACAGAGAGGACCCAGCACCACAAGTGAGGTAACACATTTTAACATGATCAGAATTTCATATTATTTCTTATAGCAGGGTCAGCACCCTACCCTCTTTCTCTATCTTCTACTGCACCATTAAAGTCAAGGAGCACAGTTCCATGACACAAACAAATGCCTACAGAGAAAGGAGGTGAGATTCAACTTTCCTTCACAGTCTGGTTTCTGTCTGAGGACAAACAAGTTCATTTCCCTGAAGAACTTGGTAAGACCCCAGAGTTGCCTAATTTAGCCATAATAGGTGCCAATGTAGGCATCACCTTGCTCTCCCGGCCTTCCTGATCACTCCCTGGAAAGTTCATTTTATGTCCAACTGACCCAATTTTAGCAGCTACAGGTGCCAAACAAGGCATCACCTTGAGAGTCTGACCATCTGCATCACTCGGAGGATTAGCTACTTTTAAACCTAAAGGTGCTAACTTTGGCATAGGTCTCCATATAGTATCTGTGTTGCTATTCTCCAGGCCAGTCTTCATGTGTAGGATGGGAGGTGAGGACACACTTTCGGGTTCTACAGGGAGACCAGAAGTACTCTTCCCTCCATCACTAGATTTCCTGTGAGAAAGAAATGAATCCTTTATCTCAGAGTCAATGACAATCTTAAGAACATCTGGCTCAGAGGTTGTTTCAACAAGTTGTTTTTCATTCTCAGAAAAATCATCTTCTTCCAAGTGCAAAAGGAGGGGGCTAATAGAGTCACTCTCCCCTTGGTCATCTGGCATCTCTTTCAAATCTGTTCCCAAGTGGCCAACCTGGAAAGGTGCTCTGTTCCCAGGAGGAAGCTTATTGATAAAAGCCCGCTGAGTATCTCCTGGGAACTCCGTATCCATAGAGGTGGGTAGTTCAGCAAGACTGACAGAGTCATCATTCAGCTGCTGATTAAGAAAGGCAATCTCATTGAGCAGTGAAGTCAGTGTCTCATCAGTATCATCATCATCTTCCATGTTAGTCAGTAGTTCACTGGGATCAAGAGCTGCTTCCTCTATAGCTGATGCGACTTTTCTCAGTTCCATCTCTATGCTCGAGTCCTTGAGATCTTTCATCTTTAATTTATGAAATGGAGAGTCCTTTGACTTCAGTCTTTCTCCTCGTGATTCACTCTCCTTCCACTTATACCGATTCCCTCTTATATCACCTGAAATCTTTTTAGGTAAAAACTCTTGTGTTTCCTGCATACTGGAAACATCAACTATTTGTGAAAAACCAGAATCTTTATTTGCCAGAAAAACTTGTGTTGGACCCAATGCCATCCTGCCATCTCTGTGATTTCCTCTAGAAGAGACTCTATCGGAATCTTCTGAGTTATTTTCATTCCTGACAGTCTCTTTCAGGTGGTCAGATGACTTGCCATCAGAAACTTCATGCGGGTATTTGCTGCCACCTGTATCTACTAAACTTCCCTCTGTGGCCAAAGATGTAACATTAACAATTCGTGGCATCATAAATAAGTCATCATTTTCTGAAAAATAAAATTTAAAAAAGAAAAATTCATTTAGATATACATCAGATATGACTATTCTCACCATCAATTATACCAAATGACCATCTTGATATAGTCAAAATTCACTAGTCTATTTTTTGTCAAAAAGATGAAACCCAAGTTAAATAAAACCCAACCAAAAGATTCTGATATTCCATCACCAAAAAAGTTCTATTTATTTGTTTTGTTTTTGTTTCTGGTTCTGGGGATTGAACTCACAACCTTGCACTTGCCAGGCAGGCATTTACACCACTGAGCTAAATCCGTAGCCCTAAAAATTCTACTTAGCTGGTACAGTGCTGCAAACAACCACACCTAGCTAACTTTTTAAACCTGGAGGGCTGAGGCAGGAGGATTACCATGAGTTCAAAGCCAGTCAGGGCCACATAGTAAGTCTGATGCCATCCTGGGCTACAAGGTATGTTCAAAGCCAGCCTAGATTACACATAGTGAGATTCTGTCTCAAAAAGTTCCATTTAAAGCCAGGCATGGTAGCACATGTATATAATCCCAGTACTTGGGAGGCTGAAGTAGGATCATTGCTGCAAATTCAAGCCCAGCCTGGGCTACAAAGTGAACCCAAGGCCAGTTTGAACACATAATGGGACCCTGTCTCAAAAAGGAAAAAAAAAGGTCCATTAATAATTTTAAAGAACTGCAACTAATTTTACTCCAAGGGCAGTGTCTGATTCTTGTTCATCCAATTAATTGTTACTCTGAGAAAAAAGTAAAGCCCTAGAGATAGCATGGTAAGGGAAACAGAGTAGTTCTCTAGATTAGACTTGGAAGCAGAAACAAGAACTGCTGTTGACATCAACAAAGTAACTAGGATTTTAATACTGATGAGGATGTTCTATTACCTTAACAGAAATTTAGGTGTCTAAGACCTAAATTACAAAATGAAACTTCCTTTTCAACTTTCTCCTTTTACCCTAAAAGAGTGGTACTCAAACTCAATCTTGCTGGTAAAGTGGGAATACACAATTGCTGAGTAAAACACAAAATTGATATTCATCAACACCAAGAACTAAGACAATAATCCCTCAACATCTTTCATTTTAGTATCTTTACTTTTCTACTTAAAAATAACCAAAGTAGTTCTTAATCCCAGATAAAACACACCAACTCAAGCTGGATTTCTTCAAAAACACAATTACTAGAGCAAATGTCAACAGAACAGCTATCTCTTGAACGTGTTCAATAATGAACACATTCAAAGAGTTTCTCTGTCAATGAGATACCAGGGCTTTTTTTCACTACCCATAGAAGAAAACATGGCATACCTGATTGAGCCATACTACTGCTGGCAACTTGAGGCTTCAGATCAGTTTCTAAAAGAGCAGGCGAAACAGTTACCACTGTTCCTGAGAGCAGAGGACCTTTTAAGGTAAGTAATTGCCCTTGTGGAGTCATCACGAGGTTGGCAGAGGTGTGTGGAGTACTACATGGAGAGGTGTTTTCTATAAAGATATAAAAGTTACAGATAAAATACCATACTTTCACTTAAAGGCAAGAAATACATTTCAAATTTAGAGCAACTAAATGTAGATTTTACTTTCTTGAATCACATTTAACTGAGTAACAGTTACCTGTCCAAAGACTCTGCTAAGGGAGAGAATCTATTGAAGAACATAGCTGTGAAAATATTTCTAAAATGATGTACCTCGATTTTATATTTAAATAAATATACAAAATTTTCTTTTTTGCCTCTGAGAGTATCAATAGCAAGTCAGGATAAAAGAACATAAAATTCTATCCCTGGGTTCCCTTTCCCATACATTTCTAACAAACTAAGTTTCTAGGTCTTAGTTTTTCTATCTGTGAAATGAGAAAGATGGCCACTAATTTCTTTCTAGCTGGGTGCAGTGGCACACACCTGTAATTCCAGCACTTGGGAGCCTGAAGCAGGAGAACTGCTGTGAGTCTGGGGTAGCCTATACTACATAGTAAGCTCAAGGCCAGTCTAAACTATATAGTAAGATTCTATCTCAAAAAACTAAAAGAAAAGTGAAATAAAATTAAAAGACAAATTTCTATCTTAGATAGAAATAGTTAATATTAGAACTAACTTGCCAGGTGTGATGGTACAAACATGTAATCCCAGAGCACAGAAGGCCAAAACAGAAGGATTACTACAAATTCAAGGCCAGCCTGGGCTACATAGTGAGTTCAAGGCCAGCAACTACATGGTGAGACCCAGTCTCAAAACAAACAAACAATTAATTCAGTATGTTAAGAGGTTTTAGTGTCCATATGGTCTGATACAATAACCCGTATTTCCTTGTTCATACACACTAGGCTACCTTAAGAGTAAATAAGGATGCAGGTAATGTACATGTATCTATAACCTTATTTCCAAAATCAAGACAAAAGACCTTACAGTCAATTTTCTTTGTTCCTTAACAGATTTGATGAGAAACAGAGCCTAATTCAATGAAATTAAATTTTCCCTTTTTACTTTTTTAAGCCATGGTTTAATGTTGCAGGGCAATTCCAAACTCCTAGGGTCAAGTGATCCTGCCTTAGTCTTCCGTGTACCTGAGACCAAAGGCAATCACCATGGACAACTCATAATTAAAAAAAAAAAAAAAAAAACTATTCTTCAGACAGGGTCTCAGTATGTAGTTTAAATTGACCTTGATCTCACTATGTAAGCTCAGGTTGGTCCTGAACTCACTGCAATCCTCATGCCTCAGCCTCCCAAGTGCTGGGATTATAGGCGTGTGCAACCATACCAAGTTAAAATGAAAAATGTTTAACAAAATTTCCAATGTACTGGTCTCAGCTAGACCCAACCTTGCTCAACCTATCAGCAGAATTGCAGGAAAATCTCAATGTCATGTATAAAATCTGAAAAGACAGTAGCTTATAAACTTACTAAAATTACCAACTGTAGATGACTATTAGAAGTAGGACTTAATGTGACAATGACTGGCTTAATTTATTAAGGTTTGCTTGAGAATGTGAAGCCAGAAACTGAAACCTAATGTAGTTCATGTTCTACTTTTCACACAACTCATCTTTAATTAAAACTGGAACTACTAATGGCCAAGAGAAGACATTCAGTCTACTTAATTGATACTCAACTGCATTAAGGAAAGCAAAGAATGTCCTTCCTACCTGTGGCCTGGTCTCTTTTTCTGGAAAGAATCAAAGGCTTTCCCCTCCTGTTATTAATAAACATCTGTCCAAGATCTACAGATGATGTAGAAGATCCTTCCTGCTGTTTGCTAGTTCTGGGAGACTCATCAAACTCATTTGATCCCATCTTCTTTTTTCTCTTTTGAGCCTCTAGTGCTTGTTGTTTTGCATAAATATACTCTAGTTTCTTCAGGACCACTTCTTCTGTCTTACCTACAGGTTGATAAGGAATAAATTATCACTCTTTTCATGACCCCACATAATAATGAGAAATAGAGTCAACTGAAATCCAGTTGATTTAACTATATTCCCCAAAACTATGGAAGGCAAGAGTGATTAGAGTCCAGAAAATATCCTCTTCCCACTCAAAAGATAGCTCTACTATAAACTTAAGGCACCAAGCTGAAACTAAGTAGTATCTAAAAGGCCTACTAAGGATTTCTCCTTGATAAATGTATTACTAAACTCTACTAGAGACTACTCACATATCTCACCTGAAAGAGATGATACCTTTCGTATCAGAATATTCCGTTTTCTAGTCAGGAGGTTTTTTTGTCCTATCAGTTTGTCTGCCTGATCTGTTAGTCCCTGAATTTCATTGAATGCCTAGGATAAAAATAGTAATATATTAGTTGATCCACTTTTCTTAAACACCAAATTTCTTTAATGAAAAAACTTTAAAATGGTATTTTGAGAACTTTATAAATGCCATGTAAAATAACCATGTACCAGAAATCATTTAACTGTATAAAGTTTTTAGGCTTATACTTATAGGGAAAATAGATTATGATTATTTCCGAAGAGCATCACTGAGTGTCAAATAGATGTTCCATTGTGAGGACACATAAAATACTCATATTCTGCTTAGATTTCAATCAAATTTAAAATAACATCAGTGGAGTAAGGTGGTACACACCTATAATCTCAGCACTCAGGAGGCTGAAATAGGAGGATCACCACTGAATTTGAAGACAGCCTGGGCTACACAGTAAGTTTCAAGGGCAGCCTGAACTACCCTTTATTTTTGAGACTTTATCTCAAAAATCAGAAGTAAAAATGAAGTAACACTGTCCTAGAGGGACACACATGTTTACCCTGTATGTTTCTAATTTCACTTTAAGCAATTTAAATGAAATTGCCTTATTCCATTTACAAAGGTGAAACATTGCAAGTTCTGCTAGCTTGAATATTTCAGATTTTCTTTTAAAATGTCTTCAACTGAGATATATATATATTTTTTAAATCGGTACCAGGGATCAAACTCATGACCGCGTGCTTGCAAGGCAGGCTCTTATGCCACTGAGCTAAATCCCCAGCCCAACTGCTAAATATATTAAATATGGTATGACTTTCCACTGTGATAAACTGTTCTAAGTGTTAGTGAAAACAATTTACAGAGTACATGGTAAACACAGTCAGTTTCTGACTTTATCTGAAGGTGGAGTAATTATGTCAAGTAAAAACTTAACTTTGAGTAAAAAGCTATTCTGACTCTACATATTTTCTAAGAGACTTATTAGGCATTCATTAGTCTACATCAATCTCCTGCATATGACAATGGGTCCCCTTTATTACAGCATGTGTAAGAGTCTTCTTTAAGGTCTTTGTTGTCATTTACACACACACTTACCCGAGTAAGAATAAGACTTTTGGAAACCTTGGAAGAATGAAGTAATCCCAACGTGATCTTCAACTTTTCAAAGAGATCTCTCATTTCACCACGCCGCCGCCGCTCATTGGCAGTATGTGTCCGGCGATAATAAGCAAAAGCTTCTGCTTCTTTCTGTAGTTTGTCGCTCCAGTAATCAGGTTTCAGTTTTAGAGGAACCGGTGGGATCTGTCCAAACAAGAATACCTCAACATCTTTCACGTGGACCTCTTCTCCTCTTCTACCCCAATGATACTCACTGCTCTATTTTGGGTACCTAGTGACATCTGTCTGGAATGTTGTTACAGTCATTCAACTACTCATCTTGCTACCATCTTGTGTCCTTCCTCCAAATCTACTTTCAACAATGCCATCGACGTATATTCTAAAAGACATGCTAATGTAATCACATCAATTCCTAGCTAAAATTTCGGAGAGTCTCAAACGAGAAAAAGTCTAAGAGATGGAAGGGATTAAGAGATTGGGAAAACATTACCTGTACAATTTAATAAAAATATAGCTCAGTGGCAGAGTGCCTGCCTGACAAGCAGGAGGTCATGAGTGTGATTCCAGTACCATAAATAAAATAAAATCACATAAAGTAAGTCTTCCTGATACCAACTACATGAAAAAGCAAAATTTTGGCTGGAGGAAAAGAGACTTGACCTTCAGTTTTTGATAAAAGATCACCTGTCAGTAACCCAAATAATCTTTCTCTTCAACAATTCCTATTAAAAACTCACAGCTAGGCATGGTGGTGCATGCCTGTAATCACAGCACTGGGAGGATCACTGCCAGTCTGAGGACAGCCTGGGCTATATATACTGTACTCAAGGCTAGTATGGAATGTACTGAGAGACCTTGTCTCAAAAAACAAACACAAGAGCAGGGAGTTTAGCTCAGTGGCTCAAGAGCTTGCAAGCTAAGCACAAGGTTATGAGTTCAATCACCAGTATCAACAAAACAAAACAAAATCCTAAAACACACAACCCACACATTCCTGTAATTCACAGGCATTAATCTATATCTGATCTATATCTTTGTCTTCTAATCTTCCACATCATTTAAATTTTAACATTTGAAACTCAAAGTCTGCACTGTTTTAGGAAAATCTCTTGACCCTCAGTATGCCTTAGAGCTCCTTTATCTTATCCTATTTCAAATTAAAAAAATTTTAGCTGGGCGTGGTAGCACATGCCTGTAATCCCAGCACTTGGGAGGCTGAGGCAGGAGGATCATTGCAAGTTCAAGACCAGCCTAGGCTACAAAGTGAGCTCAAGGCCAGCCTGGACTGAAACAAGCAAGACCTTGTCTCAAAAAGACAAATAAATTTTTATATGGACCAAGGGTATATAGCTCAGCAGCACAAAGCCTGCCCTGGCAAGCACAAAGTCTTGAGTTCAATTCCTGGTACAAAAAAAATTTTTTTCTTATGAAGAAGTTGTGGATACATGTGAGGTTTAAAATACATGAAGAGCTCATAATGAAATGCATAAGGCATAATGATACCATGCCTTGTATCTACTCCCAAATCTTCAGAAACATTTTTATTCTTTTAATGGCCTCTTCTGGTTCTCAAACAAAATATAAAGTTATTCTTTTTCAGTATCAGTAATACCTAGTGATTTGCTGCTATGTAGAAGGGGGTTTAGGGCATATTATTCTTAATAACTTTTCATTCCATCTTTCTAATACACAATTATATCATTAGTTCTTCTGACTTCTTAGTCACGTGAATGTCATTCTTTTCCTGTTTTGTCCATAAACAATGTATCTTCCCTTTCTTTATGAAGATATCATCTGTATCCTTCATGCCTTTTTCCCTCTTTAGCCTCCCAACTTGTGATTTGTATTTATATTTTTCAAGAGTGAAAATAAATCTTCCATGTTTTACTCATAGATTTAAGTTATTTTAAAAAAAAATCACTGAGTACTTAAGGTATTATGACATTGTACATATTCACAGAAAGTGAATCATGATTAATTCCCTGTCTTACATAGTTTTCTGTTTTTCTTTCTGAAGTATTTAATGGCCCCTTATCTGACACTATTTGTCTTTATCACAACGCTCCAAATTTCTTATGTAAAACCACTGTCTTCTTAAAGCTAAACCTACTGTGGACAAGGGGTCCCACCTGATGCAGCTATACCCCTTCTGAGTATCTTCCCAAAAGAATTAAAAAGCATCATACCACAGGGATATATGCACACCCATGTTTACAGCAGCATAATTTGTAACAGCCAAATCTTGAAAATAGCCCAAATGCCCATCAACAGGTGAATGGATAAAGATGTGGAATTTTTTATACAATGAAGTATTACTGTCATAAAGAAAGATAAGCTTGACAGATTTCTAACTAAACCGACGCAGCTTGAGGCCATACTCTTTTGTGAAATAAATCAGATGCACATGTACAAATACAGCATTCTCTGTTGTAAAATACCAAAAGTGCAAATGTGGGCCAAAATTCATAAGTATTGTGAAATAGGAAGAAAATATTCAAATGAGGAGGAGAACAACAAGGGAAGAGAAGAAAAGGAAATAAAAGAAGGGGAAAAGGAGGGAAAAGTAATTAAAAAAAAGAAGAAGAAAAATGGTAACAAAGCTTTTGTAAATGAGGAGGGAATGTGTTGAAGGGAGGGTAGAGGAATGGACAAAAATGCAATCAAGTTATGTACAGGTACAAATTCCCTATGATGAATGTGATCATTATGTGTATCTAAAATGTTCCAATAAAATTTGATTGAAAAAAGAAAAACCCACTGTGCATTAAATAGTATGAAAGAATAGCTGGGTGTAGTGACACACATGCCTGTAACTCCCAACACCCTCCCCAAGGACTGAGGCAGGAGGATCATGAAGTCAGCTTGAGCCAGCCTGGAATACAGTGAGATCTTGTCTTTTTTTTAAAAAAAAAGTGTAGAACAATAAAATGTGCGGGAGACAGGACAGCAAATCTCTACAAATATTTACATGAAATAATTTGAGTATTAATAATTATGTAAGATTTAGAATGAAAAAACGAAAGTAACATGCAAAACGATTACAACCACAGAAATATGGTTTATGTAAGATCTCTAAATCAGATTAACGCCAAAGCAATCATACTAAAGTTTCTGAAAGGGCTAGAATTTAAATACCATCTTCCAATCCAATCCTCTTCACTGTCTTTTCCCACTTAAGAGGACAGAATAAAATATAAAAGTTTAAACAACCACACACTCTTTTCTATTGTTAAAGAGAATGCTTGCTTAACTAGGCTATCATGATACTACCTGCTGAATGTATTTGCAAAATTAAAGGATAATAATTCCACAGCTCTTTGAACTGTGAGTCATGATTATTCAGAGTAATCTTTAGGCTGCTGAAAATCACGAACCCAGTCAACGAAGAATGCCAAGTGTCGCACTTCAAATCAATACAGTATACGATTAATTTTCAAATAATTACTTTTGATAAATTCCATACCCATTTTAATGTTGCCAAATTATTCCACTCTTTTTGGGGAAGGAATGAATTAAAAGAAGAAAAAAGTATAGTAATAATTTTATTATGGAAGACATGTTGATTATGCTAAGAAAAAAAAAATCACCCTAAAAAATCATGGTTAATATAGTATTGTTTCAACCGTAAGACAGAGGTTACCAATTTATTATATGAGTAATTTTCACTAAACATGCTTTAAATACCTTTCGACTTCTTTCAGTAGCTTTTTCATCTGCATGGGTATGGCACCTAGATAAAGACAGTATTGTTTAATATCACACTGAAATTCAATAATCTAGAATCTATTTCACACCTATATTTCATCCCAAATGTCTATATTATAACCAAATTATTTTCCCCAAGATGCAACAGATGCCACCTTGTTTATGTAACAGAATACATTTTTCCTCTACTCATTAAAATGGCAAATCTTCATGAAATAATTTCAAACATTAAAAACTGTACAAATACAGATATATTCTATACAGCTGAGAAATACCTACAAAATAGAGATCTCTGTGCAGTCTATTCAATCACATTTCTTTTCTTCCTTCTTACAGTTGAGCATTCCTGAACTGAGTTTAAATGTGTATCTTCAGAGTTTCACTGGGAATACTACTTTAAGTAATACATATTACATTTTTCTGTAATTCACTTGCTTCACTCAGCATTACACCTGAGAGATGTTGATAGTCAGAGTTCTAATTCAATCATCCAACTGGGCGTGACAATAGTGTATGCCTATAATCCCAGCATGCTGAAGACGAAGGCAGAAAAATTGCCCCGAAGTTAAGGCCAGATTGAGCCAATGAGCTCAAGGCTAGCCTGAACTACATACAAGATCCTGTCTCAAAAAACCAAGTCAGTCAATCAATTGGTCTTTTCAACTGGTATAGAGAGCTGGGGATATAGCTCAACAGCATGAGGTCATGAGTTCGATTCCCAGGACCAAAGAAACAGAAACAGAAGCAAATTCTTTTTTGGTACCGGGGATTGAACTCACAACCTTGCGCTTATGCCGCTGAGCTAAATCAGCTCAGAAACAAATTCTCTCTCTCTCTCTCTCTTTTTTTTTTTTTCCTTGCAGTACCAGGGATTGAATTCACAACCTTGCACTTGCCAGGCAGGCACTTGTGCCACTAAGCTAAATTCCTGGCCCAGAAGCAAATCTTAAACAAAGAAGAAGAAGGAGGAAGAAGAGAAGAAGAAGGGGGGGTGGGGGGGAGGAGGAGGAGGAGGTGCTTATGCCACTGAGCTAAATCCCCAGCCCCTGGTCATTTATTTTTTGAGACAGGATTTCACTACGTACTTCAGGCTAACCTTGATTGAACTCATTTTGTAGTCCAGGATGACCTCAAATTCACAATGATCCTCCCATCTCAGTCTCCCAAGCGCTGGGATTGACAGTGTATGCCACTATGCTCAGTTTGTTTGTTTGTTTGTTTTTTGTTTTTTTGTCTTTTCTTTTCTTTTCTTTTTTTTTTTTTTTTTTTTTTTTTTTTTTTTTTTTTTTTTTATCGGTACCAGGGATCGAACTCACGACTGCCTGCTTGCAAGGCAGGTGCTTATGCTGCTGAGCTAAATCCCCAGCCCCGCTCAGTTTGCATGTATAATTTAACATTTCACTTTGCTCCTTTCTGACACAGTGGTGCTCAACAGTAATCCCACCATTCAGGATCCTCCTGCCTCAGCAGGAGGATCATCACAAATTTCAAGGCCAGCCTGGGCTACTTCATGAGACTGTCTCAAAAAACAAAAAGAAGACTTTTACATTGAAAGAGATCCAAGACTTGTCTAAGGTTAAGTATTTCAAACTACAAAACTAGTATATTTATGCCAGTACATCTGGCTCAAAAGCACATTATTTGTGTTGCACAATGTCTCATAGCAATGACCAACGTTGTCCTTCCTATCTCAGTTCCTATTCTCATCTATACTCATCAATAAAACAGAACAGTAAGGAAACCTGATCTGTTACCTAGAACTCTTTAAACAGAGTATCTAGTTTTCTTTCTGGCTATAAAGCAATGACAACAATAATCCAGAGATAAATAAAACTTACATCTGTTTGAATGATTGTGTGTGAGTTGCTGTGGCGTTCTTGTGGGCAACATTAATTTCCTCTGAAAGTTCTTCTACAGTTTCAATATCCACATGCTCTTCATCATCCTCCATGTATTCTATACAATTATTCTGAAACACATTATTTTAACAGTAAACACTATGTTGGGAGGCACACACACCCCAACTTTCAACTGTAAGCTCTCCTTACAGAATCAACCAACCAGTGTCAAACACTGATCTTACACCATGAGTAATCATGATCCTTAACTTAAAGGAATTAAACTAAGAGAAACAATGTGATTATAGCCAACAAAGAACACCTTATAAGTCACAGATATATGTTAAACAGACATCATTAACCCTTGCTATGAACAGAGTCCCCAAAGGGTTGTACTGATGCTTCAATATTATTTCTAGAAGACCAAATTTAGTTATGAGTATGTTATGTATTTATTTATTTAGGTGGTACCAGGGATTGAACTCAGGGCCTTGTACATACTAGGTAAGTGCTTCACCATTGAGCTACATCCCTAGCTCTTTATTTTTATTCTGAGACAGAGTTTCACTAAGTTGCCCAGGGTGGACTGCCTCAGACTCCAGAAGCAGCTAGGCTGGCTTCATAAATCTTAAGATCAAGTAACAGTAAAATAAAATTTAGAAAGAAGAAAAATTCTATTGGGGGGGCTACAAGTATAACTCAGTGATATAACACGTATTTAGCATGCATAAGGCCTTGGGATCAATCCTTAAGCACCAAAAGAAAAAATTTTTTTCTTTTCTTTTCTTTCTCTTAATGGTCTTTTTGAGACACGGTCTCGCAGATCAGTCAGGATGGCCTCGAGCTCACTTGCAGCCCAGGCTAGTCTCAAACTTTGAATGATCTTCCTCAGTCTGCACAGCCTCCTAAGTGCTGGGTTTATAGGAATGCACCACCATGCCTGGCTAATATTTTCTATTTTAAGCGAACTTCATTATCAACCATATCAAATGCCCCAAATCAATAAACATTAACATATGTAACACAAATATATAAAAAAAAGAACAGAACCCAGATTAACCTTCTAAGTTCATAATAACACAGAACAGCATCTAATGAGGAAATTGAGGTTTCAAAAGAAACCCAGATTGCCATACTTCCTATACCTAAAAAGGAGTCAATAAAGTAGCATTTATTGAGCACTTTCATAGAAATTCACTGGATATTTTATGTAACAATAGAATTACATGGATATATGTGATAAACAGATATTTTTGAGTCCACCTTTCAAAGAAGTGTTTACTATACTCAGAACTAAACAAGGAATGTTATGTTATGTATACTTGTACTGAGAAGCACAACTCAAAATGAAGCATTTCAGTCACCTTGTTAATCTTTTAGATTTGTTGGAAAACTATCCCCAAATTGTAGGTCCCATAAGGCTAACAGACACTAAATACAACCTATTATTTATGTTTCCTTCTCACGTACTATGTAAATAATGTATATTAAACTTCAGCATTGTAAACAATATGTATTTAAGTAAACTCCAAGAAGCAAATTAATACAATCCCAACAGAATCTGGAGTTAGTAATGTAGGCATATGATTTATAATATTGAAACTGAGGCTGAGGCAGAAGGATTGCCATGAGTTTCTTGGCGAAATCCCGTCTCTCAAAAAAAAAAAAAAAAAAAAAAAAAAAACCAACAATACTGAAACTGAAAAAGGTCTAGCCGGGCATGATTGAGTGCTCCTGTAATCCCAGCACTCAGAAGGCTGAGCCAGGAGGGTTATTGTAAGTCTGAGAACAACTTCAGCTACAAAGTGAGCTCAAGGCCAGCCTAAACTGCATAGTGAGACTCTATCTCAAAAGATGACCAAAAAAAAAGAAGAGAAACTGAAAAAGGTCCGGTTATTTCATGGCTTTAACTACAGGGTTGGTAATACCCAAACTTCACAATGGAAGATTATGGTTACTCACAACATTCCTCATACCATCTAAAATAATGCTAAAAAGATAATTTAGGGGTGGGACATTTAGAGACAATTTAATATAAAGTTTTTACTTTTAAAAGGTCAGTGTAATTTGTAGGATTCCCTAAGAAGGGCATGGTGGCACATACCTGTAACCTCAGCACTGAGAGGCGGAGGATTACTTTGAGTTTGAGGTTAACCTGGGCTAGAATGTGAGTTCAAGGCCAGCCTAGACTAACATAATGAGATGCTGTCTCAAAAAATTCCTATTAGTACATTCAAGCAATACCACCTGATGATTAAGGTGCTCTTAGGTTTTATTATGGTCAGTTCCACTGACAGTCTTCAGGATTATTTGTTTCATTTTGCCTCCAGCGCCTGGGACTGGAACAGGAAGGAATGCGACATCCCCAGCTCTCTTTCATCCTTTAAATTTTAATAGACAGTGTCTCCCTAAGTAATTCAGGTTTGATACCAAAACTTGTGATCCTCTTCCTCAGCTTCAAGAGTAGCTGGGATTACAGGAGTACATACCCAGCTGTTTTCAAGACTGGACTGTTTCCTTGTTTGACATGTTTACCTAGACTAGTGGAAATGAGCCTATGGCACGCCTGCTACAGGTGGCTATTTGTTTCAATGAAAGTTGTAAAAGATTCACACGGTCACTGATCTACACTGACTTACAAGGTGAGACAGCAAAAAGCACAAGAAGATCTATAAAATAACTCCTAAATTCAATGAATTCAAATTTCCTTGAACAGGATTAAGCTATAGAAAAAGTATAGACAAATTTTAGAACTAAACCCTCATGTATGAGACAACTGTAGGAACAGAAACAACCAATATAAGAATATTAAAATAATTAGACTTCAGAGTCTTAAAATACTAATCTGTTCACTATATTTTATCTGCACAAGGCAGTCAGATATTAATAGAAAAGGACCAAATAACATGGGCTGAGTGAATCCCAAGGAGGTAGTATTCTAAAACAATCAACTGCAAGATTACTGGCAAAGATCTGTCATCTACTCCTAAAGAGGAACATAGTTCAAACTTCAGGATGCCCTGTAGGCAGCAGAATATGGCTGCCTTGGGTTTTATATCAGTCCCTTTGTCAGGGGTCAGCAGCTTACCACCTGTTTTGATAAGAAGAGTTTTACTGGTACACAGCTTCCTCATTCTCTTAAAAATTATTAATGACTGCTTCTGCACTCCAACAGTTCAATCATCAATCCTGCCAACTCTAAAGTACTATCTGCCTATTTGCAGAAGTTTTTCTATGTCTCTTATATCATTCTCTCAGTTATTTAGTTTAGTAAATATATCCAATGAAGTCTATATCTTGTATCTTTCTATATCTCTTATATCACTCTTATATCATTCTCTCAGTTATTTAGTTTAGTAAATATATCCAATGAAGTCTATAAAAATGCTTCATAAAAGTTTAAACTATAAATGCTATATTACAAAGAATGATGATCAAAATCTAGAATATAAATTCTAGTGACTAATTTCAGAAGGTATTTTAAAAAGCAACTTAAGGCAGAATATTAAAATATTTGATGGTATTTTGTAGTCTCCTCCCCCAAAAGAAAATTCTTTTCACACATACATTTTTTTTTCCTAGTTCTAAGGTCACCCACACATTCATTCTCTGTATCTTATTATATATATCAGATAAGCTACAATCACTCCATGTAGAAAATGTCAGAAAAACTGCTAGAATCAAATGGATGTAATGATTTCAAACACCTCTTTTAAATCCAACTTGATAGGAACTCCTAAGCATCTATACTCCAAAGGCTCAACCATAATAATAAGCAAGTCTCAAAAAAGAGAAACTCAATAAACACTGCCTGATGCATTCTAGAAACTAAGAAGGCATTTTATTATCTAAACCTATCCATCCAAATAAATGTATTAGGTTTGATTTTTTTCCCCCCTTTGGTATCAGGGATTGAACTCATGACTGCGTGCTTACAAGGCAGGCACTTATGCTGCTGCAATAAATCCCCAGCCCCTTAATGTATTAGGTCTTAATGATCTTCTGGAAAAACTACTGTCTCTAATAAATCATTTAAATCCTTGAGGTTTCAGTCACAACAAAAATGGGCTCACCACCTTTTCTACATCATCAACCTCCTCACTCTGGTAGTCAGACACAACATCCACAATTTCATCAACAGAATCATCGGTTTTCTCATTCTCATCTTCATCCTCCTCCTCCAAATCCAAGCCAGTGAAGTCAGCACTGCTGCTTCTACTCTTCTGTTCTTGCTTCAGTTTTATTTGTTTTCCTGGTAGTAGTAAATCGCCCCGAAAATGTTCATTTCCTCTGCTTCCTTTCATAAGTCGCGTAGGAATAATGGAGTAGGAAGCAGGATTACAAATCCTACTCCAAGAATCACACTCAGTTTTTAATACTCCATCACTTTGAGAAGTTCCACTTTTCTCATATAGACCAGAGATGTTTTGTTCTTGAAACACATCTGAATCTTCCTGATAAAGCTTTGTTTCTCTAATTAATTGCTCATCTGCCTCTTTCTTACATTCTTCATCTGCCACTTTTCTACATTCTTCTGAAGTTCTAACACACTTCTGGACCAAAGGGCTCTTTGGGTACTTTTTCCATCTCTCCCTAATACTGTCCTTCTCCAAAGTGTCTCCATGATCTTTCTCCTTGGCTTCTGGCTGAGGATTAGATTGTTGCTGAACAATAACTTTGCTCCCTGATAATTCAATAAACAGAAACTCATTTGGTTTTCCCTCTGGATTGTCTAATCCTTTCTGCTGCTCCACCTTCACAGCGCCAGATTTTTGAAGCTGTACTTTACTCACATTTTGTACTGCCATATTACTGGATTTTTCAGAAACTGTCCTAACTTCTAGAATAGTCAGTTTTTCTCTGGAACTGTTATGATTCCTAATCCTGTGCTCTTCAGTAACCTCTTTACAGTCTTCACCTGTGCATAATTCAGTGATACAGGAGTGCTCAGGAGGTTTGACAGGATCTTTTTCTATAAGGGATTCTTCATCCAAACAATCACCTTCATCTTCCAAGGAAACATTCAGAGTTTCTTTTGAGGTAATAATTCCTGAATTCTGCTTAATTATACTAGCCTCAGGACCTATACCTTCTCCTTCTGACTGTACAATCTTCTTAGTTTCCTTCTCTCTTTTTGCATAGTTTGCTTCTTCTTTCTGGTCTGTATTCTGGGATTCCTTCTTCATCTGAAGGGAAGCAACATGCTGAAGAATGGAGCTAGAGACAGGTTTTTGTCCTGGGAGCTGTAGTAAGGCAAAACTGCCAGACTGGAGAGGAATAAGATTGGCTGTACTAACAGGCTGCCCTCCTGAGCTAGATGTTATTTTGGTTTCAGACCCTGTTTTACTTGCAAAGCTCTGGGGCTCAGGAGCAGAAATTCTCAGGGTCAATGTACCAGCCTGGGAAACAAAACTTGGTCCAGAGGAAAGTAAAGATGGTGCCTGAGTGATAACATTCACCGCTGGAGAAGATCCAACAGCTTGAATTACAGGATTTACAACAGAGAAAGTAGAGGATGAAGTACAAGATGGTGGCATCTCAGAAGGCTTGGAAGGTGTAGGCAACCGGATTCCCACCACAGACCCTGTAAAGGAAAAAGAAAATTTCTTTAGTTACCACTATCCATAACAAAAATTTCAAGCATGCTTTTCTTTTTGGACAGATGACTCTAAGAGACCAAGAACAACCCTCATGTATTAATACCGTATAACATATGGTCAACTGATTACACAAAAACTGTCAGAAAGATCCCCAACTTTATACCTGGATTCCGAAACATGACAGGTTGTAAGCTGGGCTGGGTATTAGAGCCTCGGATCTGATGCAAAGGTAGAAGTTGGACAATTTGCCCATTGGGATGCCTAAATAGGTTCATTCCACTTGGGCTCCTAACAGGCTGTAAAACCATTCGATGTCCCTGAAGCTGTGGGTTTGGAACAGGTCTAAGAGTGGGAGAACCCTGTTGTACTGGAATCAACAACAACCGAGGTCCAGGACGTTTCACTGCATTAGGAGAGATCTGTGGCGCAGACACTGGAATCTGAGGGGCATTTTCTGAAAAACAAGCATGAAAACATAGTATCAAAATTCCCCCTTGAACATATATAGAAATGAAACTATTTATGACACAGGGTCTCAAAATACTGAATTATGAAGGTGAATGTACAAAGATAAAGTTTTTGTCTAATGAAAAGTAGAGGTAAGCCTATTAAATCAGAATTTATACAAAGCTCAAGAGATTATAAAATTCCATTCTTCAACTTTATTTTTATTTTCTATTTCTTGGTACTGGGAATTGAACTCAGGACCTTATACTTGCCAGGCATGTATTGTGCCACTGAGCTGTATCTCTGGCCCTAAATTTTTATTTTATTTTTTGGTACTGGGGATCGAACTTGAAACTTCACATTTGCCAGGCAGGCACTTAAGCCACTGAGCTAAATTCCCAGCCCCCCTACCACTCAATTTTTAAATTGAGGCTGAAAATATTTATTAACCTCGCTTTTAGTTTCATAGCTTACACTTGTGGAAGATAAAAGTCACTAAAATTAATGAGCCACATGAAAGGCTTCTTGGCTTTTTAAAGTCCCTAATAAGCAAAGTTTAAAGATCTGTAGAAACTATTTTTCCAAAGATAAAACAAGTAACATCCCTATCCCCAGCCTATGATACACAATTCAGAGATACCAAAGCAGCAGGTGGGTAAACCTTGATTAGGAAGGGCAAAAGAGAATTTCAAAACAAACTGATATGAGAAAAAATAAGTAACCTAGAGATTTTTTGGATGGGAGGTCATAGAAATAAATAGGCAGAAAAGGTGATAGTGAAGATACTAACAAAACTGACCTAATATTGCCATTTAAACTGGTGAACTTATTTGGCTTCTTAATAAAAAAACATTTTTATAGTTTCCCACTAAATTGAAAAATCAACAAACCAAACTAAGCATACTTTTCTTTTTGGACAGATGATTCTAAGTCATGCTCATAACATTTATGATGACAAAACTATACACAGAAAATCCAAGGGTGCTCTAAAAGTGAAATAAAGCTGAGCATGGTGGTGCACACCTGCAATCCCAGCACTTGGGAGGCTGAGACAAGAGAATCACACTGAGTTCAGGGCCAGCCCGAGTTACAAAGTGAGTTCAAGACTAACCTGAACTACACAGTGAAACAATCTCAAAAAGACCAAAAAGAAAATGGCGGGGTGTGTGTGTGTGTGTATGTGTGTGTGTGTGTGTGTGTGAAATAAGGACCACAGACCAAATTGCTCATGAAAATTAAAGTGTGCAATTTTTAAAAGCTCATTTATCTTACATTAATTTTTAAAGATGTTAATTTTCTTGATTAAAAGTATTCACCTTGGAGCCAGGGATTTAGCTCAGTGGCACAAGCACCTGTCTGGCAAGCACAAAGTCGTGAGTTCGATCCCCGGTACCAAAAAAAAAAAAAAAATTTCACTTATTACATTATGAAGATTTTTTAAAAATTCATAAACTTTATTTCTAGTGATTTTTAAATTATGCTTTAGAGAAGAGATTCCAACCGTAAATTATTCCAATTTAGAGAATGAAAGCAATCTTTATTATAACCAATGAATTTATGACATTTACTTAAATTATACATGTGGGCAAGAAAAGAGGAATAAGGGAAGTCAAATGAAAGGGCCACAATCAAAATGCCCAAGTTAAGATTCTCTCTTTAAACTAAGAATAAAATGACATGAAGCCTCCTTTGAAAAGGCAGTGCTCTGAGTCAACTCCATTTATAAAGGAGAAATGAGAAAATTAATGTTACTCTTTAAGTGCCATTATAGAAAAATTTTAAGTGGTACACAAATGTAGAGTAGCATCACATTATGTTACACTCTCAGAAAAGTAATTCTTTTATCAATTTTAGTCTTTTCATTATGTACAGAAGAAAGTATTAGTTTGATATTACATTTTCAGTATTACTCCAGTATTTTCTAGCTTTCTTTATTAACAGAAAGCCATATATTCAGAACATATAGCAGCTAAGTAGAATTTATTAGAAATAATTTTTTATTTATGTTTTCAGATTATGTACTTATCAGATTAACGTTTATTTCAACAAATAATGCTGTTGATTAAAAAATATGTTAAACAGCCGGGTATTGTGATGATACATGTAATCCTAGTACTCTGAGAGGCTAAAGAGGGCCACAAATTCCAATCCAGCCTGGGTGACTTAAACCTTGTCTCAAAAAAATTTAAAAAGGGGTGTAAACACAGCTCAGCACAAAAGGTCCTGGGTTCAATATGAGAGGGGGAGGTGCACAACCAGATCAAGCATGGTGGCACACACCTATAATCCCAGCTACTAAAGAGGCTGAGGCAGCAATATTTTTACTAGACAAGAACTCAAAAAATTGTCAGCAAGAGAAAACAAAACAAAATAAGGGCTTCAGCTTGGATACAGCACAGGCACAAGCCCTCATCTGTCTTTTGTAAATTAAAAAGCAGCACATATACACAAGTGCATGTACTCCAAAAATAAGAACATGTACATGGCACTACCTTCCTTGGAGAAGTGCACCCCAACTCTCAGCTCATAGTAAGTTGTACATTTCCTTCCAGACCAAGCTTATTGGCTGCTCTAATGGTTCAGAGTTCTACTCTCATATGTATTATTTCAGCATTCTTCAGCCAGCATTTCCATTCTAATGTTTTTTAATATCTTCTGAGGCAATCTCCAACTCTATCAAACTACTTATCAAAGTATCTGCCAAGGAATCAAACTGCTTTCTCAGCATCCTGGTAACAGAACTGCATAGACCCAGGTGTGGTGATGTAGATCTGGAATTCCAGCTAAGAGGAGGCTAGGCAACAGGACCAATCAAGGCCAATTTGCCAAGTTTAATAAGACCCTATTTCAAAAGAAATAAAGGGGGGGGGCCTCCGACAGTAGCGCGTCAATGCAAAGGCCCTGGGTTCAATTCCCAGTACTAAAAGAAAAAGGAAAAAAGCAAACCCACAGATTTTCAGTGATCTGTGCTATTATTCCCAGTGCTTAGTTTTAAGAATAAAATATTTTCAAGAATACAGAATAGCAAATATGCCTATACCAATGATAGCGAACCTTTTAGAGCTTTCAATGATCAAACAGTCCAGTGCAGCACATGTGCCATAGGTTTACCACCAATGACCCACACAGCTATCCTGATATATATGCATTCCTACCACAATTTCAAAATTATATACACAGCTATATACTAATGCAATGAGTAACAACTAGGCCTTACCTGGCCTCTGGCTTACTGGTGGATTTCCGTTAATTCCTGAGAGTATAATAGGAACAGAGCCCAGAGATGAAGTTGGTGTGGTCACCATGGAGGAAGAGGCAGCTGTGGTCACCATGACTATGGAAGTGGAGGCATTGGAAGCAACAGGAAGAGTTATGGTTGGAGGAGATGCTACCAAAGATTTAGGAAAAGCAACTGAAGCCACAGGGGTAGTTATCCCAGTAGTTTTGGTAAGGTTCACAGTGGTTGTAGACTGAGTAGATGTTACAGTGGTGCTGGTATTGGTTTCAGAGACCTTAATAACCCCTGCAGTGGTGGCACCAGAAGTAGTTTCTTTAGTTCCCACGTCACAAATAGCAGTCATAGATGTCACAGCAGTAACATTTTCTAAAAACACTTGAGGGGTGGTAGTAGTGACAGCAGCAGTCACAGTGCTGCACACCTGAACTGGCTCAGAAGAAACCACAGGTGTGACGACCATTACTGGAGAAGGTCTGATACTGAACTTCTGTGGCCCTGTCAGGGTTTGGGGTGTGCTAACTCCAGGTATCTTCTGCTGTAAGGCTCCAACTTTACTCATCACAAACTGTGTGAACACACCACCAGGAGAGGGTCGAGCCGCTGCAAATAAAAATTTGCAGGTCAAAAATCTTCAGTTCTCTTATTTCACCCTTCTAGTGACTGTGTTTATCAACATTAACTGTGCACCACTGGGTCAATTTCTCATAGGTACAACCACCTACCTTCATTATATGTGCCAATTTTTACCCACAGAAATCAAATACTTCCCGCAACCCAAAGCAAATAGTTATAATTCTACCAAGAAGAGAATTAAAATTTGAGCGTTCCCTCTAAAATTCTTTAGGCTATGCAATATATTCAAGGGGCCAGGGATGTGGCTCAGTGATAAGAGGTCATGCCTTGCATGCAGAAGGCCCTGGTTTGAGGCCCAGCACAATAAAAAAAGTGTCTTTCCTGCAATACATACAAACTGTCAGGACTCTAAAAAGAGACAGCAGTGAGTCAGTCTACCTAAAAAGAAAGAAGGAAAGGACTTTTTTCCTAATTCTAGTTAAAACTTGTTTCCACCATTTCCTCCTGCACCAGCAACTCCACCTCTTTTTTTTTTTTTTTGTCTTTTTCCTTTTTATCGGTACCAGGGATCGAACTCACGACTGCCTGCTTACAAGGCAGGCGCTTATGCCGCTGAGCTAAATCTCCAGCCCGCAACTCCACCTCTTTACAGCTGTCTTCTTATAGTTCAGTATTGTATATTCTTAAAATATATAAGACTTTTTTTTTTTTTCAAAAGAGAGCTTTTTTGTTGTTTTAAATCATAATTAAGGCCAGGGATATAGCTCAGCAGCACAGCACAGTACCTGCCTGGCAAGCACAAAGTCCTGACTTTGATTTCCCAATACAAACAAACCCAAAAAAAAAAACAAAAAAACAAAAAAAAAAAAAAAACACCTCAAACAAATTAGGCTGCTTTATAAAAGAGGAAAATATGTTCTTTTTAAGGCACACAACTATCCTCTATCTTCACACAATTCCAGCCTTCAGCCAGATATTTCAATTTCCTGTTAAAGGAATAAGAATGGAGACACAAATTGACACTTTCACTTAACATTCCTAAATAGGTTTGAAACAGCAAAAAAATTCAACAAACAACTATACATACCCTCAGTGCTAAAACAAGAATGCTTCAAGAATGCAATACATTATAGACTCTGACAATGAAATGTTAAGCAAAAGAAAGGTCCTTATTCACAAACAGGGATGTATAAAACAATATGACATTTTGAAAGTTGTATTTCACAAGAGATTTCTACTTTAAACCTAGACTATCTCATCACTAGCATGTGCTACTTTATGGATTCTTAAGTTCAAGGGATATGCTATTACAGGTGCTGAAAGTTTAGTCCTCATAGAAAAAATACTAGAGAAAGTATTCTTAAATGTCATCTTTTTTTAAAAAAAGGAAATTAAAATCCTAAGTCTTTAAATATATTAGTATAGCCAGTCAAAAGCCTCAAATATAACTGTAAAACCAACTAGTAGCACAGGTCATCAGAAGCACTATCAAGAAAAAATTTAAAATCTGTAAGATATACATAAACAATAATGTGATATTCTGTATTTCTCTAAGTTTCTACAATCATATATGTAATCACTGGCCAAGCACTAAGTTACAGGTCTTTCCAAAACAGATCTGTTCTCAAACTCACCAATTGGCCTTTTTGCCAGGACAAACGCCTTCGGATTCTTCCCAGAGCGGTTTGTTGGAGTGCCAGAGGATGCCGTTTTGGAATTGGATGTTGAAGGCAGCAGGGTGCGTGGTTTCCTGGATGCAGCCACCTTGGCATTGGATGCTACCTTGGAGATGACAGTACTGAGGGTTGAGAGGTCCAGGACTGAGGGTCGCAACCTGCCTGTGATATAAGCAGCTAGCCTATTGGCTGGATGCAATGCCCCCATCTGTCCCAATAGCAACTTAGCCTGCGGGTAACTCTTACCATTAACCTGAAACAAGTGGCAAAGAGAAATTCTGTAAAGATAAAATTCTCTTGCTAACTCCTCTCCCTTGATAGGGGTGTTTCTTTTTTCTTTCTTTCTTTTGCTTTTTGGAACCAGGGATAAACTCATGACCTTGCACTTGCCAGGTAGGCATTTGTGCCACTGAGCTAAATCGCCAGCCCAGGTATTTCCTTTGTATAAAGTTTTATATGTTTCTATTTCAGATGGGAGAAAAAGTTAACTTATCTGAGTAATGGGAAGGTAAAAAAATGCCATTATCTGACACTCTCAACTAACCTCACCTCCTTGATTTTGTAGGTTGGAAACAAGAAAATCTGAGAAATTCATCTTTTTTACACCCTAGATATCTGGAAAGACGCATGACTACCCAATTTTTTGCTTCAATAAGCAATTCTGAGTAGTTATCAGTGATCTGCTAGTTGAAAAACATACACAGAATCTCTCTGATAAGATCACAGGCATAATGAACTACTCACTCAAAGGTCCACTGAAGCACTTTTCATATTTGAAAAATATATGATAAATCTACTAAGGCAATCATTGTTACAATAACCTAAGCTAAAAAAAGTTACCTCAAATTTAAAGGCTCAACTCTGAAATCATTGTCCTCATATCTTAAAAATGCTAGTATAAACTTGCTATAATTCTAGATGTAATCATCAAGCTCTCAGAAGAAAGTAGAACCAACAAATGATAATATAGATTTTCAGTGCTGCCAAAGTTGATTACATTGCCCATCCTGGGCAACAGCACAATTATTTTGTTTTTAGGGAAAGAAAACAGAAACTTCCCAACAGAACATGGATATGTCTTATCTATATTCTCTAGCTCCTAGTGCTGGATGACCCTAAAGAAGGTAATTTTTTCTGTCTCTTTCATCATTTAAAAGTGGGAGACAGAGGTGAAGTGAGGAGGAGTGTACTCTCTAACACAGAACTGCTGAGGTGATAGCTACAGCAAGCCACTACATCTTCACACGAAACAAAATTACTCTTTGCTACTCAGGTAAACTTGTACTTACTCCCAGAAGTCAAGAATATCTCTGGCCTATGTTTGGTACCAACAGTGTGATCTTTCCATTCAAAAGTAACTTTTACTATAGTTTTTAGGTGTTATACTACATGGAATCTAGATCAGATATTCCTGTCTATTCCTTTGTTACTGCTCTGAAGCCTATCCTGCCTCTCCCCATTTCAGGTTGATCATTACTTAGCCAACATAGCTGAGACTAGTAATGTTTCAGATATGTGACCTGAAAATATCTGTACACACATACACACACACACACGTGTGTGTGTACAGATATATATATAATAAGACATATTGGAATGGAACCTAACCCTAAATATAAAAGACATTTGCATTTCATGTATCTTATATAATAGCCGTAACATAATTTTTAAAATATTTTTGGTGTGCATGCATTTTTACTACTACCTATTAAATGAAATCAGGCATAGAATTTTCTACCTATGGTTTTATTTTTGGTCATTTCAAATTTCAGATTTTTGGGGTTTTTTTCTGGTCTTTTTCGTTTTTATCGGTACCAGGAATCAAACTCACAACTGCCTGCTTGCAAGGTAGGCACTTATGCCACTGAGCTAAATCCCCAGCCTCAAATTTCAGATTTTTGGATTAAGGATGATGAACTTGTATTACAAACGGCCCAAATACTTATGCAAATCACATTCTATGATAGCTCATTTGCCTGTCTATACATTTTATTTTAGGGAATCTTTATCTCAGAAGTAACCAAGTAAGTCTCTGCTCTCAAAGTATCAATCAATCAGTATGTAAAGAGAACACTGTTCTTATCGACAAGTTTAAGAAATGCCAGTAGAGTCAGGTATAGAGGCACATGCCTGTAAGTCGCAGCACTTGGGAGGCTGAGACAAGAGTTTGAAGCCATCCTGAACTACAGAGTGAATCCAGGTCAGCCTAAACTACAGTGAGACCCTGTCTCAGAAACAGAAACAAGAAGCCGGGCGTGCTGGTGCATTCCTGTAATCTCAGCACTTAGGAGGCAGTGGCAGGAGAATCCTTTTGCAAGTTGGAGACCAGCCTGGGCTACAAAGTGAGCCCAAGGGCAGCCTGCATACATAGTTGAGTCCCTCCCTGTCTCAAAAAAAAAAAAACAAAAAACAAAAAACAAAAAAACCCCACAACCAACAGAATACCCAGACAGGTTCAAGCAGGTGGATTGCTGTGAATTCAAGTCCAGCCTGGGTTACAAAGTGAATTCAAGATCAGTCTAAACTGCATAGTGAAAGCCTGTCTGGAAAAGACAAAAAAAAAAAAAAAAAAAAAAAGAGTAAACTGTGATACAGTTTTAAAGTCAACCACTGGTATTACTTAATGGAGCAATTCTAAGCCTAGAAAAGCAGTTACTCTCATCAAAGTCAAGCAACCCTTGGCAATGATGTGAGCTACTTGTGCACATTTGCTATTTATCACTAATAAAAAGACATCTGCTATCACTGAGTTAGAAAAAACTTTTCAACTATGACAACATTTTAATTTAAAATTTCTTTTTCCAAAGGGTTTTCTAGATGTCAGTATCATTTTACTAACATAAACTACCTAAAGTATTAAATTGCAAGGACAAAAATATTTCTCCAACAATGACTAAAGTGGAAAAACCTCAAGAATAAAATAAAGAAAAAAATAAATAAATGTAGCTCAGTCATTTAATGTGTTTGAAAAACACTGAATTAAAATTTTTTCCAGGATTAGGGACATCCATCCATGATTAAGCATTTGCCTTGCATGTGTGAAGTACTGAGTTTGAACACCACCACTGTAAAACAAAACAAAATAAATTTTACCTGTTTCTAAATATATACTAGCTGCCTGCCTTAAAGATGACTTTACCAGCCAGGCGTGGTAGTATATGCCTGTATTCCCACCACTTGGGAGGCTGAGGCAGGAGGATCATTGTGAGTTTGAAGCCAGTCTGGGCTACATAGTAAGACCCTGTCTCAAAAAGTTAAAAAAAAAAAAAAATTTTTTTTTTTTGACTTTACCTTCCTCCTTTTCTGTTTCTAACATTTTAAAGATGGACTTGTTCACAGTACTGGAGACTGAGCATACTAGGCAAGCACATCCTACCACTGAGCTACATTCCCAGTCTGTTTTATTTTGAGACAAGATCTCGATAAAGTTGCCCAGACTGACTTTCAACTTGAAATCCTCCTGGCCTCACCCTTCCAAATAGCTGGGACTTCAGGCATACACCATGACACTGGCTACTTGCATTTATTTCTTTCCTTTTTTTTTTTGGTACCAGGGATCAAACTCACGACTGCACAAATGCCACTAAACAAAATCCCCAGCCCCTTGCATTTATTTTCAAAGTGGTTTGGTAATAATAAATTCCAAGAACTATACTGAATATCTAACTTTGCTTTACTATCCAACTATCACTAAATACCAGGCAATAATGGTTAAGAAATGCAAATTTCTGGGAAGACTAGAATATAAAACCAGTATTTCTATTTGTATAAAACCTGTATTTCTACGTGCAAATGTGCCGAACAGAAATGTATTTCTCTTTGTAAATTTGGCAAAAAATCACTGTCGGTATACTTCTAATCCTAAATAGAAAGGGAAAATGATTTTGTTATCTAGTTCCCATGAAATGTGAGGACATAATGATGTAAGGCCTACAAAGGCTCTGAAAAATAAAAAATAAAAATATTACCTAGGTATAAAAAGGTGCTATCCAGATTAAAGATAATTCTCACCTGGATAAGCCCAGATGTGCTTGAACTGGGTTTACGCTTATAGGCCACAAGCTTCCCTGCAGGAGAAAGCCCTGCATAAAAAGGCAGACCTTTGCCTCCATGTAATCTCTCCCTCACTGAATCCAGGGCATCTGTCTGCACAGGAGAGATATCATCCATTTTCCCAGGGGATAACGGACCATCAGGAGTCTCTGATCCAGATTTCTCAGCCATATCATCGTGGTCTTGACATGATGGCATAGAGATTTTCACACGAGAAGAATAAACAGGAGGGTTCTTCTCACCCTGGCTCTTTCGCTGAGAAGCCAACTCAATGATGAAGCTGCCCACCTTAAGTGATTGTGGCATGTTGCTATTGATGTGTTGAGATAAGATGCTCAAAATCTTGCTCCGGTCCTCCTCCCAGTTGCAGTCTGAGATGATCTCTATCAGTTTGGTGGGCCCACCAGATTTCTGATGCACATAAGAGGTAGAAGAAGATTCCCCTTCATTGGAGGGGGGAGACTTCCAGCTCTTTTCTGATTAAAAAAAAAAAAGTGATACTTCTATATATCATAACCACTTTATATTATATAAATTTTGAAAGGAATTCAATAGCTTCTCAATATCCCACACCCATATACTTTCAAGGGTAACCACATGTAATATTAGCAATTTTTGAGTTTTCCAGAGAGACAGACGATCTTTTTTTTACTCTACTTTTTTTTTTTTTTTTTTTTCTTTTTATTGGTACCGGGGATTGAACTCACAACCACCTGCTTGCAAGGCAGGTACTTATGCTGCTGAGCTAAATCCCCAGCCCCGAGACAGAAGATCTTACAGGATCAGATGACAATCATCTAAACTATTCTGCTTACTGAGCTCTAACTTAAAAGGGAAAGAAAAAAAAAAGAAAAGAATCTCTTAATAAACTGTTCTGAAAGGTCACTATTATCTAAGAAAGTACTAGTTTGCAAAAATAGCATGACCTTAATCAAAGTTAAGCTTAGCTAATGTAAGTTAATATTCTGCTATTGGCAAGGCATATATGCAAAGCAAAGACATTTCTTTGTATGCACCATGATATTTAAGGAGGAGAAGGGTGGTTTAAGAAGCATTGTTGCTTAAGTGTCATAAAGCTTAAGAAGCATAACTATAAATAAAGAGGTAACTACCTAGTTACTGCTTCTCTTCATAGTAGTAAACCAGCAACATTACCTCCTTTCTTCTTCTGCATTCTGCCAATGGTAGTAACTATGGAAGGCTCAGAGCGAATTTTAATAGCTAATTCTGCCAATAAAGCTGAGGTTTGGAAATGGCTTAAAAAATTATTTTCCTGACTTCATCCTCAATGTCTCTTGCCATAGCAACATCAATGAATTTTTTTGAGAACAGAATTATTAAACAAACCAAACAATGTACAAAGACTTTTACTTATGTAGGGGGTTTAGCTCAATGGCATAAGCGCCTGCCTGGCAAGTGCGAGGTCAACAGTTTGATCCCTGGTACCAAAAAAATAAAAAAAGTGGGGCATTTAGCTCAGCGGTATAAGCACCTGCCTTGCAAGCATGCGGCTGTGAATTCGATCCCTGGTACCGATTTTTTTTAAAAAGGAACTTTTACTTATCTCTATTTTTGGCAAAAACCAAAGGTAGATTATGTATTTTGGATTGGTAGTTTAAAAAATCTTGGTAGATTATTTCCCATCATTAAATAATCCAGATCTATATAATCACTAACAAACACTGGAATCTAGTCTTCATTCTGACCTTGTGATTTATCAGAATCATCCTCCAAGTCACAAAGGAATTGTTTTAAGGGCTGCTGTTCAGAATTAGGTTCCTAAAGAAGAAAACAACACAAAAACATTTCAACATATATTTAATGTCTACAGAGAGGAGGAAACAAGTATGAAATCTGTCAAAGAAGATTTCTGTTGTTATTGTTGGGTATTGGGGTCTTTTTTTTTTTTTTGAGATAGGGTCTAACTACATAGCCTAGGCTGGCCTTGAATTTGTCTCAATCCTTTTGCCTCAGCCCCTGGATGCTAGGTTTATACAGGGATGTACCACTACATCCAGTTTTTTGTTGTTTAGGTTTGTTTTTTTTTTTTTTTTTTTTTTTTGAACAGGGTTTCGTTAGGTAGCCCAGGGTGGCCTCAAACTCATGGCAATTCTTCTGCTTCAGAGTTTTGAGTGCTAGCATTAAGGGAATGAGCCACAATGGCTTGTAAATAATCAGTAACCACATAAACAATCAACAGTTTTACACCTGCACACACAGCTGTATTACCATCACACAATCACAGACAAACACAAGTAATTTAATTGCTAGGGTTCTTAATTATGGCTAACTCATTAAAGGAATAATTTACATAGTATTTTATAGTATACGGTAATGAAGAAGGAAAAATACTGGATGCTTAACAAAATAAGCTTCAGCTGTTAGAAAACTCACCAACATGGAAAAACGCAAATCCTAGTAATTATAAATAATTTAATTTAAACCAGAAATATTTAAGTTTTTTTTTTCTTTTCAATTACTGCAAAATCAGAAAGAAGCTCTTGGGAGCCTCACAAGATAGATCACTAGAACGGATAAAGAGAAATTAATTTATACTTCATGTAAATCCAGAGCACATTAACTATTCTGATACTACTGCCAATTCTCATTATTCTAATACCAGCAACAAGGAATTAATTGGACGTTAAAAAGTAATTGCACAACTAATTCACCTTTGTACTGTGGTTCTCAGGACTAGAATGACAGAAGTTCTGCTGCTGAAACGATGGAGATGGGGATGGGGACAGAGATGGCTGTCTCTGTTCTTCTTTTTTTCTTTCATATATTCGAACTCGGGCACAAGTCATCATACTTTCAAAGTACAAATAGACAGGATCTTTGTCCTCTTCACGTATCTGTAAGTTTTATACAACAAAACATTCCATACAATGGTGAAAAAACAGTCTCCTAGACTCCAAAAAAAAAAGGATATTTAATCTATGTTTCTGTTGTAACAGCTAAAATTTTTAAACATAACCTTTAAAACTGAACAGTCTTAAATAGTTTGTATGTTCTAATCTTGGGGTAGTCTGCTTCTCTATCAGGAAATTTCAAATCACACCAGAGTACTGCTTTTCAAATCATCTATGGATAAGGATCACTGTCTACAACTATAAATATAATTTAAAAAGTACTAGAAAAACAAGACATATGGGGCTGGAGATTTAGCTCAATGACATAAGCACCTGCTTGGCAAGCACAAGGTTATGAATTTGCTCCCTGGTACCAAAAACAAGAACAAAAAAACAAGACATATTTGCTCTTATTTTCTATACTTATTTCATCACGGACCAGTAATAGTTTTAGACCAGCACTAGTACAGAGATTATATAAACTATGAACCACTATAGTTGAGGATCCTTCTTCAAATTAACGAACTAGAAAAACTGAAATGGATTCAGAATCAGAATTGCTTAAACTATTGACATATCCAAACAATCAACTATTTTTATTTATCAGTCTTCACATAGTCATATAATATCAACTGTTACTTTAAACCCTGAACTTCACTGCTATAATTGTGTATTTTTCAAAAATCTGAAAAGCTTTTTCTAAATATTTTTCCAATTTTTTAATATGTTCTACATATTTCAACTAGATTGCCTACACTACTGGAGTAGTAGTACATTATTGTATTTTTAGTACATAATTTTAAAATACTTCTGCAAGGGGGCTGGGGATTTAGCTCAGCGGCATAAAGCGCCTGCCTTGCAAGCAGGCAGTCGTGAGTTCAATCCCCGGTACCGATAAAAAGGAAAAAGACAAAAAAAAAAAAAAAAAATACTTCTGCAAGTCACATAAAAAGCCATTTTCTTATAAGCCTTTTGAAGATCTAGTTATCTGTAAGAATTACCATTACCTCTACTTTTTTGACATTTAAAAAATGCCAACTATACTGATTAAACCAAAAAGGAAGATGCCATATACACATATTACATAAAAGCAAAACTGTTCAGAAAATAACCAAAAATCTGACTAAAATCCATCACCTTTATAAGTGACTTCTGCAATTTGCAATTTAAAAAATATTAAACTTCAGGCTTACCACAGGATTAGGTTTGGGAGTATACGCCCGTGAAGGTTTAATTCCAGTGAGCAGTTTGCCCTTCACTGTAGTAGATACTACTTCTGGTTGAGGCAACAGCAATGGTTTCATAGGCTCAATGACAGAAGGTGTAGGGATATAAACTGGCTCTGGATCTACTTCACCTTCTACTTTTACCCATAATGGATAATGTCGGACAGGTTGTTCAGGCTCTGTTTCACAGATAGCTTAACAACAAAAAAAAAAAGGTAAGATTTTAGGTGCTTTTGGAAACAAGTAAAACCAAAACAAAACTCTGAAGTAATATCAAAGCAAAGTATATTCATTCATAACTGATAATCTTTTTAACATCAAACAATTTCTCAATCTACCCCATGCAAAACAGTTGTTTTTTAAAACGATTCATTTATAATTATTTTTATTATTATTGTTCTGAAATATCAGAAAATATATCTAGAAAGAAATCTTAAAATTACTACGGAGAGGGGGTCAACAGACCCATTTTTCCCCCTTTGCAGTGGGGGAAATTGAATCCATGGCCTAATATATGCCAAACAATCACTCTACCACTAAGCTACAGTTCAATAAGCCTGCTATGGTTTGTGTCTAGATGTTTCCCCAAAGCCTCATGCAGTCATAGGAGGTGGCTGAATCCAAAGTATAATTATTCATAGAGCAATGCCGGGGTTAAGGGTGGTGGATTGCCACATCACTGCTGGTTGGATTGGCACTGCCCGAAAGCCAGTACACTGGATATAATACAAGGGACGGAAAAAGGTTCGTCTTGCTCTCTCTTGTTCTTTTGCTGTCCTCCACCGCCATGTGTCCCTGTTTTGGAGCCAGTCAACAATGGACTGAAATCTCTACAAACTGTGAGCTAAATAAATCTTTTCCCCTTTAACTTCGGGTATTAGGTATTTTGTCTTAGCAATAAGAAAAGTAACTAAGACAAAGGCTAATCAGATATTTTATGTTCTTCAGCTCTGAGATATTTTCTCAAATCACTGGAGTATCTTCTCGTCCTTTCCAAACTACCCAGAAAAGTAAGTAATAAAAGTCTGAGGATGTAGCTGAATTACTCCAGTACTGTAAACAAACAAATTACATAAACAGTGAAGAGATACACATAGAACTATGCTAGCAAATTTGTGCTATGTTTGACTTTTAACATTTAAAATCTTAAGTTATATAAAGATACCTAGATATATAAGGATAATATCTCACTTAAAAGATAAAATAGCAAATAAAAATAGCTTGGCACTAATCACAACTAGGAAAGACCAGAAAAATCAGTGTATTTTTAATTTACTGCCATTATAGGTGACATTTTTAAACTGTTAAGGAAAATACATATTATTCACACCAAGTGATGATATAACATGCTAGTTATTTGGAGAAGAAATTATTTCTACTACAAAACTCACATCAAATAAATCCTAGATACAGTGATGCTTCCTCAAGCCCACAAAAGTACCAGAAGACATCTAATGAGATACTTTTATAATCTTAAGGGTAGAAAATTACACAAGATTCCAAAGATAGAAAATCCCAGTAAAAGACTGACAGCTTTAGCCATTTCTGCTTCACACTTTTTTAGGAGGGAAGAGGGACAGAATTTGAGCAAAATTAAAACATTAAGTCACAGAATTACAACCTGGGAAAAATAAGGTTCCTACAAGCTATAGGAGAAAAAAATGCTACCACTCCAATGAAAAACCAGCGAAGTTGGGCATGGTGGCACACACCTGTAACCCCAGCACTCGGGAGGCTGAGACAGAAAGATCACTGCAAGTTTTAGACCAACCTGGATTACAAAGTGATTTTAAGGCCAGTGAAATCCTGTCTCAAAAAAAATAAACAAACAGCTAGCTAGCTAGCAGCAAAAAAATTCCACAAGGCATTTTACAGCAGATCATGATGAATGGTAAATAAACCTATCAATAAAGAAAAAAATTTAAAATAAGATGTGAATTTTTGCCTTACTAATAATTTAACATAGTTTTTTTAAGATTTTAAAAATACTACCCTTTTTTTTTTTTTTTTTTGCTTTTTTCCTTTTTATCGGTACTGGGGATCGAACTCACGACTGCCTGCTTGCAAGGCAGGCGCCTATGCTGCTGAGCTAAATCCTCAGCCCCAATACTACCTATTTTTAAAAGTATAGAAAAACTGTTGTCATCTAATAGCATGTTGGTACAACTGTAGCAACATCTAGAAACACTTAGACTCACTGTTACAGAAATCTCCCTTTTAATAGACTGCCTTAAACATGAATATTCATCACTATTTTATATATAATAAAGCCCCAAAAAGTCCAACTATAATCCCAGCACTAAAGAGCCTGAGGAAGGAGGATTGCCACAAGTTTGAGACCATATATCAGGTTTCTTAAGAGTTTAAAGTCAGCCTAAACTATAAAGCAAGCCCGTCTCCAAAAAAAAAAAGGTCCAACCAAAACATCTGCAAATTTTATGAAGTCCCTAAAAATTATACTTAGAAATGGTTGTATATGACTATAATCCCAGCACTTAGTAAGCTGAGGCAGGAGGATTTCAAGTTCAAGACTAGGCTGGGTTCCACAGACTGGACTATACCACAGTAACACACTAAAAAAACCCAAATTATTATGTAGATCTACAATTCTCTTTTTTTTTTTGGGGGGGGGGGTTACTGGGGATCAAAGCCATGTCCTTGTGCTTACCAGGGAAGCACTTGAACCACTGAGCTAAATGCCTAGTCCTACAACTCTTGATAAGCAAAGAGGAACATGACCTTATGAGCTTAAATGTATACAGATTACAACACCATGATATAAAATAGTCTACTTCTATAAATATATACATATATAATAGGGAGTCACAAAGATGTGTGTGTGGAAGAATACTGAAATATTAACCATCTCTGATGGAAATAAGTACACAATAGCCAGGCATGGTGGCTCACACCTGTAATCCCAGCACTCAGGAGGCTGAGGCAGGAGGATCATTGTGAGTTCGAGTCCAGCCTGGGCCACAAAGTGAGCTCAAGGCCAGCCTGAAATGCATAGCGAGACCCTGTCTAAAAGACAAAAAAGAAATAAGTACACAATAAACAGAAATAGTAAATATAAACTGCCAAAAACCAGTATTTGCTGATAAACTAAGAAACAAAAAAACCTATGTAAAAGTCATATTCATATTTTAAAATATGTAAGTAGGTATGTGTGGATTTACTTATTTAGCAGTACTGGAATTCAAACCCAGGGCCTCTCTAACACTGAGCTACATGCCCACCCCTTTTGAGTACGAGTCTTCACTAGTCCTCCAGGCTGGCCTCCAACTTCCAATCCTTTTACCTTCACCTTCCAAGTTGTTAGGATTATAGGTGTGTACCACTGTGCACAGCTCATATTCAATATACTTAAACAAATACAAAGATATAAGAGGAAAAAATTGAGAATTACATACATAAGACGTAACGAGTCTATACCATATTTTATTCAAAGGGAAAAGCAAACAAATACATGATGCTACTGTATTACACTCTTACTTTACTGTGCTCTAAATCTGCAACTACTTGGAAGTTAGCTTCATGATCAGAGGGTCTCCACTGCAAATTCCTTCTTGTGGGAAATATGATGGATTATACAGTATTCTTTTCAAGGAATACATGCAGAGGAGTTACAAAAGAACTAGATAAGCCAGTGATGAACTTCAAATTCTCAAAGACATTCTGGAAGTTCAAGTAAAGACTATTATTTTCTCTCACAGAAAAATTAAATTTTGTTTTATTATTTTTATTTCTTTATATTTTATACCAGAGATCGAACTAGCAACCTCACACTTGCCAGGCAGGCACTTACACTACTGAGCTAAATCCCCAGCAGAAAAATTAAATTTTAAAAAGGAATGTTTGTGTGCATATCACACATGCCATATAGAAACAACATGTGAAATATAAGAATTCACAAAACCCTTACTAGCTCATGAATTAGGATAAAAGCAGGTAGTATTTTTTAAATAACAATACTTTTCAAAAAAATAAGAAAACATACAGATCAGTTTTAAATTTCAAAACTCACTGTATTCTAGCTTTTTTCTCTTCTTTTTCTCTTTTATTTGTTCCTCCTCTTCTCTATCTTCCTCTCCTTCTTCTTTTGGCTCTTCTCCCAGATTATCATAAATTACTGGCTCTCGATGAGCAGTCTTCCTCTGAAAATGCTTAATTTTGGATCCCCCTTTAACGAGTACAACTTTTCTCTTTAAACAAGTGCAGCCAAACATGCAATCTGGTCGACGACAGTGGGCAGGCTGGCGCTTCTCCAAAGCAAGACTAGAACATACACAACCTAGTCGACAGAAGTCATTGTTGCATGGAGGAGCTCGTTTCCTTATGATTGTGTGAATAGGTTTAGTTTTCAGAGATGCCTAAAATTAAAGCAGAAAGTTGTAATTCTACTAAATTACCCTCTGACACCATCACCAATTTATAGACACGTATTGGTCTGCTGACTTCTGACTTTGATCACTTACATCACAAGACTACAGTGATTCAAAGGACAGAAAATGAAAATAACTAGAATTCTACACAATCTCCCATTCTAATGCATAGCACCGATAGCAACAGAATACATATCCTCATTAATTACAAGCATAAATATCAAGGTTGAGCCAGGCATGTTGATGGAATCCAACAGGCTAATAGAAGCAGAAGGATCCAAGTTTGAGCCCTATCTGGGAAATTTAGGAACTCTGGGAGACCCTGTCTCAAAAATAAAAAATAGGAAATGGTAGTGTACTCCTGTGGTCCCAGCACCTGGGGTGGAGGGGTCTAAACAAAAGGATTGCTGTGAGTTCAAGGCCAGCCTGAACTGCACAGTGAAACCCTGTCTCAGAAAGACTAAAAAAATAAATAAATAGACAAACAAATAAACAAACGAGAAAGTACATACTGAGAAGGTGGTTCAGCACAAAAGTTCTGGGTTCAATTCTCAGTAACACAAAAAATAAACATGTAAAAAGGATAGATTTACTTGACTATGTTCTATACCAGGGGCTGACAAACCTAAAGCCCATGGACCAAACCCAATGCATTTCACTAGAACACAGCCAGTTTCATTCATATATATATTGTCTATGGCACAATAGCAGAGCTGGTAACTGCAATCCAGCCAGCTAAAGCAAAACATTTACTATCTGGCCCCTTACAGAAAAAGTCTGCTGGCCTCTGCTCTAGAATAACTAATAAAAGGGCAAGGAATTATACATGTGTAAGTCAGTGAATAATGAAAAAGGTTAGAAACTGTATTTAGTTCTAACATTTAATGATTTTGGGCTCTGGAATTCAATATTCTAGTCTACTGTTTTACATGTTAAGCAGATTACCTGTTACTAAGCTAGCCCCCAACTCTCAGTAAAGAACTCTGAAGTGGAAAGGTGCAAAGACTCATGATTAGGGGCTAGGAATGTAGCTCAGCAACTTAAGTGCCTGCCTGACAAGCATGAGGACATGAGTTTGATGACTGGTAACAGGAAAAAAAAAAAAACCTCATGATTAAAATATTAACATGCTGCTGTGTCATTTCACATGCTTCCGACAGGTATGTCATTTAAAAAAAATTATATATTTTTTTAGCCAGGTGTGGTGGCTCACGCCTGTAATCTCAGCACTGGGGAGGCTGAGGTGAGAGGATCATTGCGAGTTTGAGACCAGCCTGGGCTACAAAGTGAGCTCAAGGCCAGCCTGAACTGCATAGCGAGACCCTGTCTCAAAAACAGATTTAAAAAAAAAATTATACATTTTTAATTTTATAAAACCAAAGTTTTTCTCTATAGGTTTGTAATTTTTGAATTTTCTGGCATTTAGTACCTTGTAAGCATAATTTTCAAAAGTTTTAACAAGACTATCAATGTTCCCTTCATTCCCTTCAAGAATGTTATAGAGGTTTTTCAGAATGGCCAGCTGCCAGTATACAGCAGCACAGAACATTCAAAAGCTCAACTGTCGAACATAGTGGCACACACCTATAATCCCAGCACTTGAGAGGCTGAGGCAGGAGGATCATTGTGATTGCAAGACCACCCTGGGTTACAAAGTGAGTTTAAGGTCTGCCAGAACTGCATAGTGAGACCTTGTCTGAAAAAGACAAAAAAAAAAAACTCAACTATACAGTCTCCCTCTGCTGGCAGGATCCTACATTAGAGACCTCGTTTCCAAAAACAAAACCAAAAAGACAGAAGAAAGGAGGAAGAAATCTCCTTAGTTGTTACTGGGAACACCCGAGCCTCCTGCCAAAAGGCTACATTCTCATTTCTAGCCAAGTATCAGTATGCTTCCAAAAAGCAAAAAGTACTTACCTGAGCTGTAAGTAGAGTTGTCAAGGATACATCTGCTCGCTCTTCAGTTATATAGGTCCTTGGTTTTCCTTCCCAAAGTGCACAGTCTTCCAGGTCCATTAGTTTTACCTGAGATTTAGACAAGCCTGGAGGGCGAGTTCCCTGTTGCTGTTGCTGTTGCTGTTGTTGTTGCTGTTGCTGTTGCTGCTGCTGCTGCTGCTGCTGCTGCTGCTGCTGCTGCTGCTGCTGTTGCTGCTGCTGCTGCTGCTGCTGTTGCGTCTGCCGCAAACTAATCTGCTTTGGAAATACATTTTCATCTACAGTTGGCACATTATTCACCTGATTATCTGAGACAGTACCTGAAGAATTCTTGGTAATCTTATCTCCTGCTATCACATGAGTATGTTTCTGCTTTGGTGAAACAGGGTACGGTAAAATAGATTTATAAGATGATTTAGTTCGGCCACTGAGTGTGGTCTGTCTGTTTTGAGGCTTTGCCTTCCGAGAGGCAGTGGGTCCCGAATGAGGCTTCAGAGAGTAAGAGGTAGAAGGAGAAACAGTAGATTGTTTCTTTAGTACACTATCAAGTGTTCGTACATAGCTGGTACTCTTGGTGGGAAGCTGGTATACCACAGGAGATGTGGGAGCATTGGAAGAGAAACCCATACTTGTTTCCATCAGTTTGCCTTCATTTTCCAAGTATTCATCTAATTTATCACTATAGAAAGCAGAGCGGTTTTTCAGTGACCCTTCTGAATTTCCACCTACAAATAAGGAGACACAAAATAACTTAATAAAATCTAGGACACATCTTTAGGGCCTGGTGGGAAACAACTTTAAAAGGCCAGGCATAATTACTCAGCATCAAGCTACTAAAACTTCTGTTTCTCCTCAGAAATAAGGTAATACAAAACCAAATAAAGGGTCTCAGTAATTATATGAAAATCCTTCTCTAGTCTGACACTAATTGTTTTAAAATACATTCTCTAAAATTATGCCTTGTTGGGCGTGGTGACTCACACCTGTAATCCCAGCACCTGGCAGGCTGAGGCAGAAGGATCATTGTAAGTTTGAGACCAGCCTGGGCTACAAAGTAAGCTCAAGGCCAGCCTGAACTGCACAGAGAGACCCTGTCTCAAAAAAATAAAAAATAAAGTAAAATTATGCCTAAACTTCAAATTAAATCCCCAGCCCTTCAATTTCTTTCTTTCTTTTTTTTTTTTTTTTTTTTTTTTTGTGCCTGGGATTGAACTCAGGACCTCATGCTTGCCAGGCAGGTGCTTATGCTGCTGAGCTAAATCCCCAGACCTTCTTTTGGCAACTTTTAACCTACCTTCAGAAACCACCAAAAAGTAAAGTCATTAAGAGCAAAAAGTAAGGATAAATCAAAGTAGAACTCAACAGATTTATACTGAAATTCTTAAAGGATTTCTATTTAAAGGACTGGTGTCCTTGCTATTTGACACAAAACCTTAGGGAAAAGGTAAAGCCACAAAAGAAATGTAACATTTAGTTTTTAAGGAAAATAAAATATTTAGCACATGGTGAAACACAGCAGTGTCATAACACCATAGAAATATTCAAAAATGACAGCAACTATTTCAGACAAATGATAAATTCACTGGTTTAGAGTGAAAGTGAAGTGGAGTTTTAAGAATAAACTATCAGGAATTATTATATGACTGACATATACATACAGTTCTAAAATAAAGTTTCAAAATGATGTTTTTGTAACTGCAAGGATAACAGATGGAAATGCAGTTTGAAAAGTGTAAGTATCACTTAAGCCTCTACTGGCAACTGAACCTCAGGTTTAGCATGTGGAGAAAGTGCTGAAGAAAAATAGTTAAGTCTTACTTTTAACATGAAGTTTTGGCTACATTTTACAAAAAGTATTTAAATTTTTTCAAAAAATCAATTACCCTCATTTCTAGATGCAGCAGCACTATGAAACTTCCCCCTCCATCCCTTGATCTTGGTAAAGTCATTGGTCTTGCCTGTTCTAGAAACAAAGGGAAATCCAGCATCTATAAAAGAAAAGTAAAAGAGATGACCAAAATTCTAGCAAGCCACCAGCAAATTACTAAGACTTCATCTAAAATTTATAAATTTATGAATATTAAGCCAAGACACAAAAGATCTATTTTAAAATCCTAATATTTCCAACAAATGGTAGCTTTTTTTTCTGTATCACAAATAACCAAAACTTTACATTGTACTTGACTTTACAAATGCTACATACTCACCAGGAGAGGCAGGGTTTGTTCCTGTAAGGTTCCAAAAAGGGAAGCTTGTGGCTGGAGCCAAAGGTAGCTGTACTCCCAAGTATTTGAGATCAATGCTCATTGTTGGATCCACTGAATTCAATTTTAACCCCACTACAAGAAAAAGGACAATAAATTATTATTATCTCCCTTTTCTTTTTTAACCTTTGGCTAGAGAGAGTAACAGAGACAAAAGAAATAGTGAAAACCAAAAACAGTGAAACAAAAATGAACAATGACAGATTTCATTTTAAACAGAACCCACAATCCACACCCTCTAGTGGGTTATATATTTGTGTAATCTCTTTTCCCTTGAGTGTGGAAAAGGCCTTGATTTGTTTGTAACCAAAAGAATATGGCAAAGGGCATGGGAGATACATGATTAAAGGTATGAGATATGTAAGAGTATAGAACCAGTCTTGCGAAGACTACAAGGAAATAAATTCTACCAAGCAGCTGAGGAAAGCTTTAAGTTGCTCCCTCCCCAGGCATGTTTCTGATAAGCCAGGGCTGGCTAACATCTATCATTGTGCCACATCAGGAGCCATACCACCATACTGGCAAATGCCGGTCAATATCTTAATTGTAACCTTGTGAGACTGAAAGTAGAGGGCCCAGCTAAGCCACGGTCAAGACTGCCAACAGGCAGAAAAAGTGAAAAGAGTAAATGTGCTGGTTTACATTGCTATATTTGTCAGCTATTGCTATCCTGCCTCAGAGCCACTGAAAGAGCCAAAATAAAATCTTCCTTTTACTTTGAAAAAAAGTGCTATGTTTGAGATAATTCGTTAAGCAACAATAGATAGCTAGCCATGTGTGGTGGTCCATGATTATAATCCTAGCACTTGAGAGGCTAAGACAGGAAGATCACAATTCAAGCCCAAACAGGGCAATCTAGCAAGACTCTGTCTCAAAATAAAATAAAAAGGACTGCAAATGCAACTTAGTGGTAAACGCTTCTTGGCCTTTTGGCTAAGATCAAGTATAGCTCAGTGGTAGTGCTTGCTTAGCACATTCAAGACCCTAGATTTAATTTCCTGTACTAAGTTACAAGGGTGGGACATGCGGGACAACACAGGAAACCCAAGGAAATCTGGTAAAATTACCAAAAAGTATATACAACTCAAAATTAGAATAAAAAAGAACTATGGAAAGTGGGGAAGAAAAAAGGAGTCAGAAGAAAAAGAATCCTGAAAGAGCAAAGGAGACACTATAAAGCTTTACAGAAAGAAAAATATTGTGTGACATTTTATCAGAACCACCACCTACAAAGAAAGCAGAATGAACAGAACAAAGCTGTTAAAAATACTTCCTTCTGGAAAACAGAAAGATTTGTAAAATGTAGACTCATGCTACCAAATTTAGAGACTATTCGTTACATATTATCTTGTCTGCATTTATTTGTATACTTTGAGCATTTCGCAAGTGACAGCAAGTAATAAGAACAAATTTTAAAAATACAATGTATTTTAAATATGCATTTTTTTTAAATTCTAAAAGTATACACTAATGATACATAATCCATTTCAAAGTAATTCTGACTTAGCTTATCCAGAAATACTTTGCAAGAAACATTTGCCATGCAAGAAAACACTCAGCTAACAGACACATGAGACCTAGACTTAGGTAACTGCTTTTTGGGGGGTGGGTTAAAATAGAGTTTTGTTAATGTAGTTCATTTTGCAGCCCAGGTTGGTCTCAAACTGGCAACAATTCTCCAGCCTCAGTGTTCTGAGTGCTGGGATTACAGGTGTATGAGAATGAGTATAAATAACTTTGGTTATCAGAGAAGACTTAAAACAATTTTAGAAAGTAGACTATAATACAGCTTTAAGTCTTTTCCATATATGACAGTTTAAACTGAATTATGATCTTAATTTTACCACATTTCACTATATTAGGATCTGCTACTTTGTTTGGGGGTTTTTTTTTGTTTTTTGGTTTTTTTTTTTTGAGATGGTTTCACTATGCAGTTCATGCTGGCCTTGAACTCGCAGCAATCCACCTGCCTCAGCCTTCCAAATGCTAGGTATGCACCACCACACTTGACCACAGGAACTACTTCTTAAAGACAGATTATATAACTGTATGTATTGGATCCTCCCATCTCACCTCCATCTTTCTATGGGCATGGTGGTGCACACCTGTAACCCCAGCACTCAGAAGGTTGAAGCAGGAGGATTGCTCCCAGTTCAAGGCTACCCTGAGCCAAAAAGTAAGATCAAGGTCAGCCTGAACTGCATAGTGAAACTGTCTCAAAAAAAACCAAAATGCAAAAATAACAAAAACAAAAACCAGTAGCAAAGAGCAGTTTCTTATTAGGCCATGCTCTAAGGTCACTGTGTTTCTAATTGGGATGATGAAGTACGGTTACATCGGTGAAATTAAAACCACTGTTATTCACAGAACAGAGTTCTTAAAATTTCACATGTAGGTTATACAAAGAGAATGATCAGCTTCAGATTTATTTGATCTAGAAAAATAAGATAATTAGTTCCTAAACTGTCAGAGTGGTTCCACTCACTATATTAACAACTTGAGTTAGTATCATGGGCTACACAAGCACCAAGATGAAAACAGGTTCAGAAAAGGGCAAAGAAGCTAAGTTGTTTTACCATGTGGTCAGTGTTCATTTTTGAACTCTATTTGAGTCTCCTGCTTCCTGATCACTTATTTCTCTTGCTTAACCCTCCAACTTTTTAATGCAAGACTTAATTTTGTAAGTGCACTTTTTAATGCAAGACTTAATTGACGGCAATCTATGCATTATGATACTCTTGTTTTTACAGTTCTTAGTGTTTATTGCCAATTCCTGTTGAGCTTTTACTGTTTTTTCCACTTGAGTGACTTTGCCTAATCCATATTCTTTGCCTTTTATTTTATATAGAATGGTTCAAAATCTAATTTAAGAAAGCAATTATGTCACCTTTAATTATTTTTAAGTCAGTTGTTAGCTCTTTATAGTATTTGTCCACTTTTCTTTCACTTACACTTTTAATGTTCTGAAAAGAAACAAATAGCCAGGGCATGTATGCCTGTAATCCCAGTATTCAAGAGGCTGAGGGAGGGATTGCCACAAATTCAAGGCCAGCTTGGACTATATACAGTGAGTTCAAAGATAGCCTATACTACATTGGGAGATTCTGGCTCAAAAACAAGAGAAGGTTTGAGATCATGTTCATGTGAAACAGTCTGAACTCATACAAATGAACCCTAGCATAAAAACAGGGGGAGTTAATGGGATCCAAAAAGCTAAATAGTTATTGTAAAAGTGATAGGGGAGGAAACACTTGGGAGGGAAAGGTGGGAACTACTGTTAATTTCATACTGTCTTGTCTTAAACTCTTGTATTGTTTTCACAATTTTGTTGGTGTTTGGCTTTGTTATGTCTTGTTTTGCTAAGATTTTACTGTCTGATGGTATGGGCAGCTATTTTAAACATAATGGGATGTATTATGGTAATTATGGTTGGTTTCCTATTATTGAAGTCTTATAATGCTTTCATTCATTTAATTGTTTTTCTTCTGTTTTGTTTGATTTTATTATTTGTGATGGTATGAACAGCTATTTTGAAGAAACGAGACCTTATGGTAGCCATTGCTGATTTATTATCATCTTGTTTTGAAGTCCTATGACGCTTTTATTCTTTTGTTTTGGTTGGTTCTATTCTGTGTTTTAATTTTATTATGAGTGATAGTATGGACAATTTTTTTTAAGACAATGAGATATTAAGGTAACCACTGTTCATTTCCTGTTATCTAGTTTTGAAGACCTGTAATGCTATCCTTCTTTTGATTGGTTTTATACTCTTCTGTTTTGTTTGATATTATTATGTGTGAAGGTATGGTCAACTATTTTGAAAAAAAAAAAAGAGCCATTATGTGGCACTGTTGTTTTTGAAGTCCTGTGATGCTTACATTGTTCTGTTCTGACTTGCTTTGTTTTGTTCTCTTTAAAATAAAAATTTCTTTTTTTCTTTAAAAAATAAAAAAGGGATGGGCTGGGGATTTAGCTCAGCGGCATAAGCACCTGCCTTGCAAGCAGGCAGTCGTAGTTCAATCCCTGATACTGATTTTTAAAAAAAAAAGGGGGGGGGGTTGTAGGGAGAAGAGAATGGGGAGGGAAGCATTAAAGTTTAAACTGATGCAGCTAAAAAGAAAATGAAAACACACAAGAGAGAAAATGCTTAGATTCTTTTTCAAGGGATGCAATACATATACACACAAAAAAAATCTCAAAAGTATTGAATATCTATTATAACACTATCACAAAAAGACTAATAAAGACAAAAGTGAAAAAAAAATAAACTTCAGGTTCATGAATGGTACATTTGCATAAGGTAATATATATGGCAAAAAATACCAGCCTTTAGCTAAAATTGCTGAAATATAAAGAATCCACAAAAACACAGTGGGTGTTTATAGTTAAATAAACATCTAATAATGACACAATGACTGAATAAACAAATGATAAGAAGAAAAATCCATAGTACATAACCATTCCCAATAATTTATACATATTCTAACCTCAAGGAGTTGCAACAAGCTGGGCATGGTGGTACCCATCTGTAATCTCAGCACTGTGGGATACTGAGGAAAAAAGAATCACAAATTTAAGCCCAGCCTGCACAACTCAGCAAGAACCATCTCAAAATATAAAAAAACTGGTAATGTAGCTCAGCATAAAAGCCATGTGTTAATTCTCCAGTACTGAAGAATAAACAAAGGGTAACAGGGGGTGTGCAACATAACTCTCCACTCATTAAGTATGGGATACACATAATAGCTTCCTAAAGAGTAGAGTATGAAAAAGAAGGGAGGACAAAAAAAAGGAATAATTTCATAGCAAAGAAACTTGATAAACAATAGCTCAGCCAGATGATCAAGGTCAATAGCAATAAATCACTTTGAGTATATATAGTACTTTTCATATGATAAGAATGGCACTATACATCTGTGTTCCCCCTCCAAAGATACAATCCTACTCTAAACAAGAAAAATCCCAACAACAGCTCACAAAAATAACTACAACTCTTGGGCCAGGGACTTAGCTCAGCAGCTCAAGTATTTGTCTGGTAAGCACAAGTCATGGTTCGATCCCTGGTACCAAAAACA